TGGGAGATGAAAGACCAGCTGAGACACTCCCCACGTGGGTGGAAGGACCCAACAAATCGAAATAAGATCCGGTTTCTGTTTCACGCCTCCGGGGCACCCCGCAATCAACCAGTTCTGGGTTCACACTTTGGGGCATCATAGAGCACAGAGGCCAAAGCTCAAGTCTCCAGCCCTAGTGGGCCCAGCCAAGCCTGAGCCTGCTCGCTGCCCCCGCAGATCCCCAGCCGGTGTTTGACCTGCGTGCAGTTCCGGGCGCTCCGGGAGCACGTCGTGGGCAGGACGTCGGCGCTGCCCGTCTTGGTGTACGACTATTATGAACCTGGTAGGCCCACGCCCGGCACCCGCAACCCCAGCTCGGTCCCTCACCCTGTCACCCGTCACCTGCTCACCCTTCTCCCTTGGTCCCGCAGCCTTCGAGGCCACGCGCTTCTACAATGTCAGCGCGCGCAGCCCGCTTGCCCGGGAGCTGTGCGCGGGGCCTGCGTGCAACGAAGTGGAGCGCGCTCTGGCCCAGGGCCCCGGTGAGTGCGCGAGGCCACTGCTCCTTTCGAGCACCCGCCACCCCAACACGACCCGTGGGCCTGGGGGAGGGCTGCCCATTTGGAGGGAGTCGTCAGGCAGAGGAGCGTACAGCGTGGTAAGAGGAGCAAGGCCCGGCTCGGTCGAGGGCGCGCGTCCCGATCCGACGGGGTTGGAGTGCGCAGGCAGGGTGGAGGAAGCTAGGATTAGAGGGGTGGGAGTGAGCAGCGGAAGGGGCGGGGTCCTAGCTGGATGGGGGCGGGCCCATCGTGGGAGGGGCGGGGTCTCGCGGGGTGGGAGGGGCGGGCGTTGAAGTGGAGGCCGGGAGGGGAGCCCTTGCCTCCCCTTCCCAAGCCAGAGGGTGTCCGGATCCAGGGACCCAAGCTGTGAGCGCAGACTGGCGGCGGCGAATGGCGGAGTGGAGTTCCTCGGAACCCTCTTCTTTATTTTCCAAACTTCTTGAAATGAATTTAGGTTGCATTTAGTTCAAAAGTTTTACTTTTAAATTTTGTTTTCGTAAATACTAGGCGAATACTCGCGTGACATTCCACCAGGTCAGGGCTCAGGGCTTCCCGGGCACTGTCTCCACTCTGTAGAGCGTGGTTCTGGCCCCTTGGGACTTCTCCATCCCAGGCCCAGGGAGAGGCGAGGGCCAAGTGGGGAGCTCGGAGTTCCCAGGGCCCTGACAACTTCGTCTCGCCCGCCAGGCTGGTCCCCGGAAGAGCGAGGTCCTGTGGCCGTTCCGGAGGAGGGGGTGACAGTCACACGCTGTGGCTGCGCCCGCGCCTGCAGCACCAGCGGGGACCCGGTGTGCGGTTCCGACGGCGTAGTCTACGCCAGCGCCTGCCACCTGCAGGAGGCTGCCTGCCGCCGCCGCGTGAGATTGGAGCCTGCGCCCCCTGGCCGCTGCGCGCTTGGTGAGGACCCACCCCACGGCCGGCCTCGGGGGCTCCATCTTCTCCATCACGCCACCTCCTCTCATCACCTCTTTGCTTCTGGGTCAGTTTGCACTGGGCTTCCTTGGTGGCTCAGCGGCAGACTTTACCTGCAATGCAGGAGACTCGTTTTTGATCCGTGGGTGGGGAAGACCCCCTGGAGGAGGAGATGGTAACCCACTCCAATATTCTTGCCTGGAAAATCTCATGGCGGTCTACAGTCCATGGGGTTGCAAAAGAGTCTTAGCAACAAGAACCCTTTGCATCTCCTCCATCTTGGTCAGTCTCTCTCCAGCCCCATCCCAACTTGGTGCTTTTCTGAGTCTCCCCATCTCTGATTTCTGTATCCCCTTCCCCACCTTGAGACCTCACCTCCTGTCTGTTGCTCTGGGCCACACATCTTTCCTCGAGCTCCCTGGCCATTCAGATCCTCTCCCTCCAGTGCCTTCCCTACTGACTCAGTCCTTCCTTCCAGAGCAGCCGACACCAGCCTTGGCCTTGTACAGCTACGAGTATGACTTGGGTCCCCTGGACACCGGGCACCTGGCAGCTGGCCATGAGTTGGTGGACTTGGATAAGGAAGCAGAGGACAGGTGAGAGCTGGATCTGCCCCCAGTCTCCCTCCACATGGAACCCGGCAGGAAGTGGGAGCTACTGATGGAGGGTTGACCTGCAAGATTTGGGGGGATGAGGTGGATAACCTGTTCTCCCCTGCCCTGCATCCACTCAATGCACATCAAAGAGCAGCCTGTATGTGCAGGGTGAGCTTAAGAAGCCCTCCCAAGGACTGGACTTCAGGACAGACCTGTCCCTGAGACCCACTCTCCCTTTTAAATAAGTTATTCATGACGCAAGGAATGTTTTTTTCAAGAGGGGGCGCTATGGACTCTTGCAGTGGGGTTGAAATTGTACAATGCAGGAGACCTGGGTTCAATCCCTGAGTCGGGAAGATCCCCTGGAGAAGGGAATGGCAGCCCACTCCAGTATTCTTGCCTGGAGAATCCCATGGACAGAGGAGCCTGGCAGGCTACAGTCCATGGGGTCAAGAAGAATTGGAGTCGACTAAGCAAAGCAACTAAGCACACACACTTAAAAAAAAAAAAAAAAAGGTGGGGGCGGAATTTATAGCCAAGGAGCCCTTCCTTGGTAGCCTAGCAGGTAAAGAATCTGCCTGCGATGCAGGAGACCCTGGTTCGATTCCTGGGTCAAGAAGATCCCCTGGAGAAGGGATAGGCTATGCACTCTAGTATTCTTGGGCTTGCTTGGTGGGTCAGCTGATGAAGAATCCGCCTGCAATGTGGGAGACCTACATTTGATCCCCGTGTTGGGAAGATCCCCTGAAGGAGGGCATGGCAACCCACTCTAGTATTCTTGCCAGGAAAATTCCATGGACAGAGCAGTCTGGTAGGCTACAGTCCGTGGGGTCGCAGAGAGTCGGACACTGCTGAGCAACTAAGCATAGTGAGCATAGCCAAGGAGTTGGGGAAGGGGAGTCGATGGATGGAAAATTACTGAGAGGAAACAATAGGGAGTGGAGGGGGGATATTCTGGCTAAAGAGACTGAACCTTATTCTTGCTGATGACAGGCCAGGTAGGTTGAGAGATCATGAGAGATGGGGAGGGGCGGGGGAGGGTGAAGAACCCAATCAGATATCAAGAGGGATCAATATGGAGGATATGGGGTTCTGGCTAAATTGACGTATTAGCCAGATTCTTGCTCCAGCTGGACAGTGTCAAGATGAACACGGAAGCCTGCAATTTGAGACCAAGGTGAAAAAGAGCTCAGAGGAGCCCAACCGGGGTTTGGTCAGGGAGAGAATCTTGTCCCCCTGAGGGAAGGATGGAGGAAAGGTCAGGAGACCAGAGAGCTCTGTGCAGGGAGGCTGGGAAGGGGCTTCCTGGAGGAGGCAAATCTTTTGGTTTGAGCCAGCTCAACTCAAGTGGTTTAAACAGCAGGTTGATCTATCAGGTTAGGTAAGTGCCAGGTCCTGGAGGCTGGCTGCACTGGCAAGCCTCAGAACCCTGCCTTCCTAGGTGGTAAGGGTCTCTCCACCCCATGCTGGTGGCAGAGGCTGGTTTATATCCCCACTCAGCAAACCAGTAGGAAAACTTTTCTACCAGCCCTCACCAAAGTCCTGGAGACTTAAGGGGGTACCATCTTGCACTAGGCACCGGGTTTAGTTCACACGCATGTAATTACTGGTAGAGCTGGGTTTAGGGTTACTGCTGCAGTATTTTTGTTTCATTTTCCCTTCTGTGCCCTCTTTTCTTCCCCCCTCCTCTTCACACACCCTCTCTCTCTTTACTCCTTCCTAATCAAATTTCTTAAAAAAATTTTTTTTATTCATTTATTTGGATAATTAGGTTTTAGTTACAGCATGCGGGCTGTAAAGGAAACTGACATCAGTACAGCCTACCCTTCTCGCTCATATTTCACCACATTTATGTGTATTCAGTGGCCGTTGAGTCAGCAGTTCCCACACATGTGAAAGTGAAAGTCGCTCAGTCATGTCCGACTCTTTGCAACCCCATGGACTATACAGCCCATGGAATTCTCCAGGCCCGAATACTGGAGTGGGTAGCCTTTCCCTTCTCCAGGGGATCTTCCCAACCCAGGGATCGAACCCAGGTCTCCTGCATTGCAGACGGATTCTTTACCAGCTAAGCCACAAGGGAAGCCCAAGAACACTGGAGTGGGTAGCCTACTTCTTCTCTGGAGGATTTTCCCGACCCAGGAATCAAACCAGGGTCTCCCGCATTGCAGGCAGATTCTTTACTGAGCTATGAGGGAAACCCCTTTCAGCGCTTGTAGCTTTTTGTAATCATGACTGCAGTCAAGCTACTGGACAGCCCATCGCCTCAAGGATCCCCCTAGCTGCTGTTTTATAGCCACACCCACCTTGCTTTCCCCCAAGCCATTCATCTGTCCTCCCACCCTATGATTTTGTCACTTCAGGGCTGCTTTGTAAACAGAATCATGGGGTACGTAACCTTTCAAGATTGGCTTTTTCTCACCCAGTAAGAGTGAGTGAGAAAAGTGAGCTACTGACACAACCCTGTCTGTGGTTAGTGTTGGATCAGCAGTTCCTTCCTTTGCATGGCTGATTGAGTTCCACAAATACGTTCTCGATTTGAACGGTGGTCCCATGCAAGCTACGCTCATTCTTACCAAAAGTGAGCACCCCGTCCTGCCACTGTGTGGGGCCTGGCTGGACCATGAACCCCACCTGTATTCCAGGGGGGTGCTCCTGTCTCAGTGGGTGGAAGCAGCCGTCCTGAGTGCACTTGGAGGCCAGTGCACAGGAAGGGTCCGCAGCCCCTGCCCCAAGGCCTGGCAGCCCACCGGCGTCTTTCCTTCTCTCCTATCAGCCAGAGTGGGTTCTCCTCCTAAAACTCCAAGCTGGAAGACGTGATCAGGCTGTGATTTCTACCTGCCCGAAGAGGGCTGGGGGACTCGACCGTCTAGGGGTTGGTAGACCCCACCCTAGGTGACCCCTGCTTCCAATTGAACCCGATAAGTGGACTGGCAGAGACCTGCCCCGATGGATGGGGCCCAGCCCCCACCTCAACAGGGAGGACGGTCAGTGGGTGGCTGGAGGCCCCTTCCCCCTGCTCCCCCAGCTGCAGCTGGAGCCCCAGGCGCCCCGCCCCGCGGCCCACAGGCTGGGTAGCTGGAGGAGCTCCCACAGCCTGACGCGCTGCTCCCCAGAGAAGCGATGTCTCTGGGAAGGACTCGTGGCCAAAGGCCTGTTTCTGAGGGGACACGACTCTGGCCAAGTCTCGGACACAACGTCAGCAACTTGGAAACAAAACAGGCCCCTCTTCTCCAAAATGCAGAAGTCCCAGCCTCCCTTTGGGCCACCCAGGCTGCTGAGCCCAGGACCCGAACCCCAAATTGCCCCAGATCTGTCATGGTCCCTGCAGCCCCATCTAGCCGCAGGGGCCCCCTGAATGTTTGGTTTGGTGGCACCAGGCTCTGTGGGGAAGTTCTGGACTCTAAGAAGATGCACTTTCATCTTCCTGCTTCTGGACCTCACCGCCCCTTGAACCCCTGCTCTCCCGGGGCCCGACCTGGAGGATTGTCACCCCCACCAGCAACCTGGGAGCGTGTCCCAGCTCCGGACCAACCGAAGCCGTGTGCGCAGACCTGCCTCCGAGCTGCTCCTCCCCTGTGTTGGCCTGTCTTCTCCCTCCACGGTGGTATTTATTTCAGCCCACACAGCTCATCTCGGGACAGCACAGAGACCCTGAGGGGGCGGCCCAGCCTGTGGGGCCCCGTTATGCAGCGCTGATCCCTGACCTCCACCAGCCTACAAGGTTACAGTTCCCTTGGCCAAGGCCCTGTGGCCCACTTGCCATGGAGGCCGCTGGTGTAATAAAAGCTCATTTCCTTCAAGTCCCTGGCAGGCTTGACCCTCCTGTGGGCTGGGGAGGCTGAAGGGCAGCTCCAAGGGCTGAAGCCGGCTCTCATCTGGCCTTTGCTTCCATTCCTTCATCCACAGCCCAGTCTTTCCAAGGAGGATGGGGATGAGGCTTTGGAACACCTGAACCCCAAGATAATCATAAATTCAGTGCATTTGTAAAGAATCATTCCAATATGGGGGCTTTGAACTTGCCTGTCAATACAGGAGACGTAGGTTCTATCCTTGGGTCAGGAAGATCCCCTGGAGAAGGAAATGGCAACCCACTCCAGTGTTCTTACCTGGGAAATCCCATGGACAGAGAATCCTGGTGGGCTACAGTCCACGGGGTGGCGAAGAGTGGGACACGACTGGGTGACTAAACAACAACAACAGCAACAGAGAGAGGTCTCAGGTACCCAACTTCCCCCAGTGGTAGCATCTTGGGATACTCCAGTACGTCATCACACCAGGTTAGTGACATTGGCCTTCCTCATACGGCCCCAGGCTCCCTCTTGTGTGGGCCAGCATGTGTGTGTGTGTCCTGGGGCTGGGCACTCTTCCCCAGACCCCACATGAGCTCAGTGGGGAGCCCAGAAGTGGTGCCCATGCCTCCTGGTGGCACCAGGCTCTGGGCATGGCTTACTCACCCCCACAGCTGATGCCTCAGGGGGCTCCCGACACCGTGCTCCGTGCTGCCCGTCTGGGTGGGGAGTAGCAGGGTGTGTGTATGTGTGTGTGTGTGTGTGTGTGTGTGTGTGTGTGTCTGGGGCTACGGTCACCCCTCTGCATGTGGTGTCATCCAACTCGATTCAAACCAGCCTTCAAGTGGTTGGGGGTGGGGTTTGCAAAGCTGCATCCCCCTGAGCCTGGGTGCACACCCTAAATCCTCCTGTTGCCCCACCCACCCGCTCCACAGGGGAGCTGACGGAAGAGGGATCAGACCACAGGTGAGGAGCAGGAGGTGATGTCTGGTAACCAGGATCACGGAGGCTGAGCCCCGTGGCTCCCAAAGATGGGTTGCACCAGGATTTGGGGGGCTGAGGGGGGAGGCTCAGAGCCATAAAGCCCATCCCCAAGCCAGAGCCTGGCTTCTGGGAATGAGAAGGACCGCCAACAGGGCTCCCAGCCGCCTTGGCCCCTGGCGGTGTTGGGGGCCCAAGCCTCCTCCTGGGTGGGGTCCTACAGCAGGCCTTAAGGCAGCATCAACCTCACTTCATCCCTACCTTGTACTCAATCACAGGGGAACTGGTCAGACCCAGGAACCTACATTGAATCCCCATCTTTTCCTGGGCCTTCCATAACTCAGTACCACAAACCAGGTGACTTCAAACAACAGAAGTTTATTCTCTGGCAGTTCTGGAGGCTAGAAGTCCAAGATTAAGGTGTAGGCAGCACTGGCTCCCTCCAGGGGCTCCGAGGGAGACTACCCAAGGCTGCTCCCCTGGCTTCTTGTAGTCGCTGCCAGCAGTCTGAGCTTGTGGCCACATCACCGCACCTCTGCCTCCACCATCAAGTGGCCTTCTTCCCGTGTGTCTCTGCATCCTCCTCTTGTAAGGACACCAGTCACATCGGATTTAGGGCCTACTCTGTACTCCAGTGTGACCTCATTCTAGCTAATCACACCTGCCAAGACCCTGTTTCCGAATAAGCTCACCTTGGGAGGTTCCCAATGGGTGTGAATCTGGAGGGGACCCTATTCAACCCAGAACGACTCCCTTCCTGTTCATTCAGCCTGTGACGGGCCTGTCACACGACCGAGGAGGACCGGGTCCCCATCTCCCGGCTGCCCCGCTCCCTGGAGGCCGTGGTGATGCCAGGTGCCCGGCGGAGCAAGCCCTCCTGCACCTTGCTCCTGAACTCGGCAGACACAAAATAATAGATGAAGGGGTCCACACAGCTGTTGAGGGTGCTGAGCGCCAGGCTGGGCACGTAGGCGGCGTACAGGTCCCCCCAGGCGTCAGGGCCGGGGTTTGAGAAGTGCAGCAGCAGCAACACGTTGCTGGGCGCGAAGAGGGCCACGGCAGAGGCCAGCACCAGCGCGGTCAGCCGCAGCGCGTGGCCGTAGCGCCGGCCCCCAGCCGCCAGCGTGCGTAGAGTGGCCCCGTAGCTCAGCACGATGGCCAGCAGCGGCAGGAAGCAGCCGAACCCCGCCAGGCAGATGAAGGCGGGCCGCCAGTAGGAGGCCTGGGCGCCGGTGGGCAGCACGTCGTGGCACAGCACGTGGTCAGAGCGTGCCAGCTGGAAGGTCTGCTGCTGCAGCGCCAGGGGCATCGCCAGGGCAGCTGCCGCCAGCCAGGCCGTGACGCAGAGCCCACCGGCCAGGCGCTGGCCTCGCAGGGTGCGGGCCCGCAGAGGGTGCACTACGGCCAGGTAGCGGTCCAGGCTGACAGCGGCCAGCAGCAACAGGGAGCCGTATAGGTGGCCATAGAGTGCGGCTGTGTCCAGGCGGCAGGCGGCCTCGCCAAAGGGCCAGCGCTGGCCCCGCAGGTGGTAGGCAATCCGTGGCGGCAGCGCCAGTGCCAGCAGCAGGTCAGCGGCTGCCAGGTTCATCAACATCACGGTGGAGGGCAGTCGGGGCACCTGCGTGGCCAGCACCCACAGCGCCAGGCTGTTGGCGGGCAGCCCCACTGCCAGGGCCAGCCCGTAGAGTGCAGGCACCAGCCTCGTGGGCACCCAGCCCAGCAGCAGGGCCCGAGAGTTGGCAGGGAGCTCCAGAGTGTTGCTGTCGTTGGTACAGGGCTGGCCAGGGAAGCTGCGGGGGTGGGGCCTCGGTGTGCTGTCTGGGGGGAGAGAGATCCAGAGGGAAGGGGATAGAAGCATCACCACCCCCACACCCCACCCGCCGACCCCTCATCTGGTTCCCCGACTGGATGGTGCTACCTCCTGAGAAACTAGAGGGGCCCCAGTTCTCAGGAGCCCCCGGGACAGAGCTGGACACGGACACACCCAGACCCTGTGGACTCCAGGCTGGGCTGGAAGACCCCCCAACCCCAGTTTGCTGTCTTTCCTTTGCTGGCTCTGGGCAACCTCCCTCTCAGTCCCAAGGCAGGGCCCAAGGTCACTCACCATCGCCTTCTGCCGTGCTCCCCACCTCCTCATAGCCGATGGGGGTCTGGGTGTCACCCAGGCTGAAACCCAGGGCCAGAGGCCACAGCAGCAAGAATACCCACATGTTGGCGAGGCTGGGTGCTTGCTGCTCTGGGCTGTGGCCGGCTGATCTCGGGCTTCCTGCCTGGCTGGACCCCCACCCCCAACTTCCTGCGTGCCCGCGGAGGAGTTAACAGGGCCGTGTGAGATAAGCCGGCCCCTGTCCTCACGAGTGGGTGGGTGGCCCCAGGCCTGGCCTAAGATCGGGCAGCTGGGGCCACTCGGCTGTAGGGGAGGAGGAGGGGGTGTCAGGCGGCAGCCCCCACCTCCAGCCCCGGCCCAGCCTAGGAAGCCCCCGGGGGCCAAGTGGCCACTTCTTGCTGGCTGGTCACATCTTGGTTCCAGCCCTCTGGAACCATGTCCCGCCCCGCTCTTGGAACCAGCCCTCTACATCACATCGCCCCCCCCCACCCCAATCTTGGCCCCTCCCAAAGCCCTCTTCTCCCAAATCCGCACCCCCAGCTCTGGCAGGCAGGACACCAGGTCAGAGGTCAGAAGAGGGGAGCGAACCCCCCATAAATGCCCCTGGCCCTCTGTGGGGGTTGCCCGACTTCATGCTGCCTAACCCAGCACAGGCCCCCAGGCAGATGCAGAGGAAGATGCAGAGAGCGGAAGGCATGGTGAGCCTGGGGTCTGCTATGGAGGAGGTTTTGGTCTTCAGCCAGAGCCCCCAGTGCTGACCACGTACTGTCCTGGGGGTCTTAGGGGAGCCCAGCGGCGGCTTTGTCTGGGAGGGGCCTGCTTCCTCATCTCAAAGCCCCTTCTTCTCCTGTCCTGGGCCCACCCTCCACCTGGGGCTATAGCCGGGCCTGAGCTGGAGGGGGGGCCAGCTAGCCCAGACAGCACCCGGAGCCCCCTTCCCTTCGGGCCTTCACCCCAAACACCTCTCCATGTCCCACCCAGAGGGCAGGGTACTCCTCTCTACTGAATAAGATCCCCCCTCCAGACCTCAGAAGGGGCTATGCCATCCTACCCTGGGGCGGACCCGCCCTCGGGGTTCTTGGTCTCCGTGTGGTCAGGGCTGGGCCACAGTGGTGGGGGCAAATTCGGGGAGCAGGGGGATCCTGAGGGAACCGGGGGCTGAGGGAAGAAGAAATGAACTCGGGGTTGGAGCGGGGATTGGATGAGACGGTGTCCTGGGATGGCGAGCCCTAATCTAGCCACACAGCTGGGGACATGGGGACCAGCCAGGAAATGACCAAGCAGTCCATGATAGAGTCAGTGCAGCTGGAGGCTGAGATGCTGAGGTCCTTGCCCCCAGCCCCAGGGCTGGGGGGGCGGACACTGAGGCCTGGGGAGCTTCAGCAGGAGCAGGGGTGTCACAGCCAGGAGCCTCGCCCTCATTTCTAAGCAGTTTCCTCCAACGCCAGTGACACGTGCAGCCCCGTGCCTGCACCTCGCAGCACACGTGACGGGGATACTCTCGCGGCACAGGAAATGTGGGCGGGGACCCCTGCCGCCCCTCCAGGAGAGAGCGGGAAGCCAGCTCAGGGGAAGCTGGGGGCGGCCAGGGCGGCTTGACTCAGGAGGTCCGTGTCTAGAAATTTATGGCAGATACACACGCTCAGGAAGACGTATGTGCCGGAAATTTCCGGCAGCGGGGGCGAGTGGAGGAGCCCATAAATAACTCCCCCTCCACTCACCAGTCACCATGGCAATGGCCCTGGACCACAGGAGCGGGCCCCCAGACACAGCACGTGATGGTTCAGGGTGGCTGTCCCAGGGAGATGAGCCACACGGAGGCACCTCCTGGGGGGTGCTGGGGGACAGCTGCCTTCAGAGAGAGAGGCTCGGGTGCCTACTTTTCTCTGTGTGCTTTTTCGTGTGGCTGGAACTTTCTGCACTGTGCATCACTTTCCATAAAAACTTAAATTTTTATGCTTAAAAATAGGCATAATAGTAGCTGTAAAAGGAAAGAAATTCTGACACAGAATTTCATGGCTACAACATGGATGGATTTCAGAGACACTGTGCTGAGTGAAGCCAGTCACGAAAGGACAAATACTCTATGTTGTTCAGTCACTCAGTCATGTTTGACTCTCTGTGATCCCATGGACTGCAGGTCACTAGGCTTCCCTGTCCTTCATTATCTCCCGGAGTTTGCTCAAACTCATGTTGAGTTAATGACATCATCCAACCATCTCATCCTCTGTGGACCCCTTCTCCTGCCCTCAATCTTTCCCAGCATCAGGGTCTTTTCCAACGAGTCGGCTCTTTGCATCAGGCGGCCAAAGTATGCATCCAAGTGCGCCAAGTAGCTTCAATCGTGTCTGATTCTCTGTGACCCCATGGACTGTGGCCCACCAGGCTCCCCTCCATCCATGGGATTTCCCAGGCAAGAATACTAGAGTGGGTTACCAAGCCCTTCTGGGTGTGAGGATTCCCAGGCGCACGCCCTGTGGTCAGGTCAGCTCCCCTGGCAGCAAGAGGTCACCCCAAGATTTGCTCACAGGAAATGACTGACTGAACCTCACAGCTTTAGGTCAGTATTTAACTTTAATGTGCAAATAAATAGAAAAGGAAAACTACATTCAAAACAGCTGCAAAGGAAGTACAAGCCCCAGAACAGAAATTTCTTCAGAAACGGAAGAGATGCTCCCTAGAAGCATGCAGGGTGGGGGCTCGGTGGGGTCTGGCCTGCACCCCAGGCCTGGGCGCAGCCACAGGTGGGGGGGCTGCGGGCTCCTGAGGAGGACGGCTACCGGGAGGGTCTGGGTCAGGAATTCTGGTGGGTGTCCTTCTTATAAAACAAGGATGCGTACAAAGTGCGTGAATTACACTTGAGAAAACATGGGCGAGGAGACACCCGGGCGGGGCGGGTTGGCCTGGAGTCTAAGGCTTCGCAAACCTAAGAGTTCCCCAGGTAACTTCTAGAATTTCCGGAACCTTGGGTCTGGCACAGCTCAGCTGCAGGAAGGCGAGCGCTGCGGCTAGAGGCGGCGGCTGCTCAGCGGTGCCACCAGGCTCGCGTGTCGGGGGAGCCCGCCTGTGTCTGATGGGGCCAGGGGCCTGGCCAGAGCGTCTCATGGTTCAAAGGGCTGCTCCCTGGCCCGAACTACTTGGCATTCTTGGCACAGAAAGCCCTCCGCCCCTCACACCCGTGCCCACTCCGGGGTGGTGGCCGCAGGAATGGAGGCGCTGGGGTGGGTATGTGGAATTCCACAAGGAGGGCAGTCACCCCCAGAGAAGCTGTGGCATTTGGCCGTTGTAGAAGTTACAACACTATGAGCACAGAGGAATAAATAGGTGTGTGCATATATATACTTCTAGAATGTCCATCTTAGGTACACAACTGCACCCTGGGGCCCTCCCAGGGAGAGGGCACTTGAGCTCAGCGGATGCGTCAGGAGGGGCCCCCTCCCCTTAGGGCACAGAGTCCAGCTATTGGATCAACACAGGGTTTGGGCCTCTTTTTCCCACAGCAGGGTCTTCTGGGCAGTCCTGGTGCCACCCACCCAACTCCACATCTGGACATCCAAGTGGGACCCCAAGAGTTGGGCTGAGCGGGCTTGTCTCATTTTCAAAGTGGTGGAGGACCCCCAGTGCCGGCTGGGCCAAGCCAATGCCCAAACCATCAGATGCAGGTGTCCAGCTTGGGGAATGTTTCTGGCAGCTCTCAGAGCCCCTCGGCAAGGACATGCTTTTCAAGCAAGTCCACCTAGGCCTGATTCCTCAGGAGCCCAGGGGTTCTCAAAGGCTGCTCCCTCCTAACGTTGAGGCCTGGCGCGGCTCTTCGCCGATTCTCACCACGTGCAGGAGAGGCCTGCGGCCCCAGGCCTGGGGGTTTGGCACGCGTGGCAGGAGCGGCCCCGCAGACGTGTGAGCGTGCTCACTTGTGCCTGGGCCAGTGCACTCATCCTCCCCGCACCCGCGGGGACCAAACCCCCAGAGTTTAAGTGCGAGGGGTGTCAGGTTTGGCACAGGATGGGCCCAAAGGGGAGTGGGGAAGCCAAGAGGGATGAAGCGTGGGGCCGAGAGCCGCTGCCGCCCACCCTCCTCTGGAGCTCAGCCCGTAGCAGCAAGGCTGGGGGACGCTCTGCACCCCTCATGTTGTTGATGAAGACGCCTGAGGGACACGCAGGCCGAGGAAGCGCGCGCACCATGCAGTGCGCTGTGGAGGTGCCTGCGCGGGGGCATCAGGGGGAGGCGGGGCGGCGGCTGTACTGCACGCGGTAGCGGTTCACGGGCAGGCCGTGCACATGCACCGTCTCACAGAGCGTCTTGCAGGGCACCATGTCCTCGTCCTCCTCACCCATCAGCCAGTCCTGCACCAGACTGGCTGCCTCCACTGTCACGTTGTCCTCCAGCCAGCGGCTATGCCACTCCTCAAAGTGCTGGTGGTGGCGCAGAAGGACCAGGGGCTGCACCTGCCGGGGGTGGGGAGCAGTGAGCACGGCCCGGCGCCCCAGAGCCACGGCTGGCTCCCAGGGCCCACACCCCCCAGAGCCGCGGCTGGCTTCCAGGGCCCACACCCCTCAGAGCCGCGGCTGGCTCCCAGGGCCCACCCCCCCAGAGCCACGGCTGGCTCCCAGGGCCCACCCCCCCAGAGCCGCGGCTGGCTCCCAGGGCCCACACACCCCAGAGCCGCGGCTGGCTCCCAGGGCCCACACACCCCAGAAGGCCACGGATCAGATCCCAGAGTCCACACACCCCAGAAGGCCATGGATCAGATCTCAGGGCCCACATGCCCCAGAAGGCCATGGATCAGATCCCAGGGCCCACACACCCCAGAAGGCCGTGGATCAGATCTCAGGGGCCCACATACCCCAGAAGGCCGTGGATCAGATTTCAGGGGCCCACATACCCCAGAAGGCCATGGATCAGATCTCAGGGCCCACACGCCCCAGAAGGCCATGGATCAGATCCCAGGGCCCACACACCCCAGAAGGCCGTGGATCAGATCTCAGGGCCCACACACCCCAGAAGGCTGCGGCTGGATCCCAGGGGCCCACATACCCCAGAGTGCCATGGAGTGCATCTTGGGGGCTCAGGCACCCCAAAGGCCATGGGCTGGACCTCAGGGGCCCAGACACCCCCGAACAGCTGTGAGCTGGACCCCAGGCTCCCAAGGCTCGGGCAGGGAAGGACACCTGCTTGGCCCGGCACAGCGTCCCTCGGCGGTACATGTAGTCCTCGGAGTTCACAATGAACAGCATCTTGTGGGTGCTGAGCTTGAAGCGGCAGTCCACGTTGCAGGCGCTCTCCACCCCGACCAGCCGCCTCCAGGAACTCTTGGCCTCGCCGCGGAGCGCGCGCACCTGCTCACACTGCCACCGGCGGAACTTCTTGAGGTTCCTGGGGGTGAGAGGCGGATCCGTAGGCTAGGAGGTCCCCACAGCCCAGACACTGGGAGGACGCCTGACTTCCCAGGGTTAGAGAAATGCAAGCAGAGGCAACGGCAACCACCACCCGACCCCTTGGATCCCGTGTGAACTCACACCCAGGCCCGCCGGGCGCTGGTGACAATGGGAGCCTCCCCGGGGCCCTGGGCCCTCTCACCTCTGCAGGAACACGGGCTTCAGGAGGAAGCCCTCGGTGGGCGAGCTGGAGGCACCCTCCGCTCCCACATATTGCTCCACGTACCGAGCCAGGTGCTGGGGGGACAGAGGGAGAGACGGCCCATGGCATCAGCAGCTCCTGGGGCCTTCATCTGCATCCCTCCCGAAGCTCCAGGCGGACCCGGATGCGTGCTTGAGACCAGCAGATGGCAGCGCCCAGGGCTCAGCTGGGGTGGGACATGTACACCCAGGCCGCAATTCAGATGGCTTATGGAGCCTCAAGCTTAAAAGTGGATAAGTCCCTGCTGTGTTACTGCTTCACTGTATCTGCCACGTGGTAAGTTCACATGGGGAATGGGAGGCCCCCGACAGAGACAGAGTGGGGTCCGGGGGATGGGTGGACGGGAAGGGACATTGGGACACAAGCAGCAGAAAGGAAGCGGGAGAGACAGGGAGGAGTTGGGGGTGAGTAGATGGCAGGGCTCACAGGGGCCACCAGGTCCAGGATGGGCACGGCCTGCAGCGTCCAAGGGACCCTTCATCTGCTCACCACCCTGTTAAAGCAGGAGGCTCTTCCAGACTCAAGCTTAACGAACGCACATTTGTTGGAAACTTCTGGAAGAGACAGAGTGTGCAGGCCCCCGCCCTCACGTGTTATGGAAAGTGTGTCCTCTAAAGGATGCTGTGAGGGGCGCCCTGGTGGCTGTGGTGGGCGGCGTCCCCAGCTCTGTGAAGGCAGCTGGAGGCTTCCAGGCCCTGTTTCCTGGCTCAAGGGCACCAAGGGGAAGGTGCATGTCAGTGTGGGCCAGGAGAGTTTTCTCCTGTGATGTGGGACACCCAGAGCTCTGAACTTCGGGCACCAGGCGTGCAGCAGTCACATACCACGGGGTCTGAGTGACTGGGCTAGCCACGGCACCACGGAGATGGCCTGGCACCAGCAGAAGGTGGGAGGAGCCAGGGCTTCGGTAGAGGCCAGACTGGCTCCCGTGTGGCCACCTGCCCTGGGACATGACCCTGGTCTCTGGGGGAACACCGGAGGCCAGTGTTCAGCCAGCACAGAGGCACCCTGGTGGATGTTCTGTGGCCTGTGTGTGGCCGGCGGGAGCCACATGGCAGATGCTGCCCATGGCTGCCCCTGGTCCCCGAGGCGCCCGTGGCTCGGAGTGCAGGGCTGCGGGCCCCACCTGGACCTCCACGGGGTCCTCCGTCTGGGCTTCCTCGGTGTCCAGGAGCTCGATGGTCATGATCACTTGCCCTTTGCGCTGGAGGAACATCACCTGGGGGAGGGCAGGGGACAAACAGTCTGAAACTTCGAGAACAGCCCAGGCTGGCACAGGATGAGGGCACAAGGTCATCAATGCCCCCCGCTCCCCAGCCTCCAGGCCTCATCCTTTCTTGAGGGACCACTGCTGGGTGACCACCTCACCTGGGGTGGGTGCCCCCCCCTCCCTCAGCTGACCACTCACCTTGAAGCAGTTCTCGTCGGCCATGCACCGCTCGGCCTTCCACTGGTAGCTGGTCTCCCGGGCGGCACGGACACAGCGGGAGGACAGGTTCCCGCCAGCGGCGCCCCGCTTCTTCTCGTTCAGGTAGAGCTCCACCACCTTCAGACAGACGTCGTCGCTCACGAGGTGGTGCAGCTGCAGGCACAAGGGCTAGTTGGTGCCGGGCACGAGCCCCCCAGGAGCGGGGAGCCAAAGCCCCCGCCTCGCTCAGAGGGGTCGTGGCCAAGTCCACGTGGTAGGGGGGCGAAGGTCAGCATCCAACAGGCTGTGCAGGGCGGCCTCCACGCTGGGTGCGCACCAGACCAAACAAGCCCAGACCACACAAACCAGCCCAGACTGAAGCAGACCAGACCAAAGCAGACCAGCAAACTCTGCCCGGGTATGAGAAATGTACAGACGAAACGTGCCCAAAGGGGCGTGGTAATCACTGAAAATCACTGTGATGGCAAAAGATCATCCCTCCCCAACATTCAGTTACAGGGCTTCCCTGGTGGCTCAGTGCTAAAGAAGCCGCCTGCCAATGCAGGAGACGCAGCTTTGATCCCTGGGTTGGCAAGATCCCCTGGAGAAGGAAATGGCAGCCTACTCCAGTGTTCCTGTCTGGGAAATCCCATGGACAGAGGAGCCTGGTGGGCTACAGTCCACGGGGTCACAAAGAGTCAGACACGACTTAGCGACTAAACAGCAACAATGTTCAGTTACAAGCGTAATTAACTCCTTTAACACCTATAAACATACTTAAAACCTTGAGTTTGTGATGAGACAAGTACTGGAAACAGCTGAGGATGCAGGGTCAGACAGAGCAGAGTCGTCTCTGTGCAGTGAGTTGCAGCCCACACAGGCCGGAGACGTATTAATACATCTTTCGTTTGCTCAAATGCTACTGACTGGAAAAGTTTCAGTATCGCTTACATAGCAAATTGCCAGCCACAGGTGTTAGTTTCTGCAAAAATCCCCGTCAGTAACGAGTTAAAACTGTTTCTACTGACTGCCTCTGAGTGGCAGAGGAATGACATGATTCTTTCCTTTCTTTCCCACTTTACAATGAACAGCCTCACTTGACAACCAGGAAACCAAAGTCAAGTTAAACAACCTGAGTGTTCACCAAGCAGGACCCATGGTCCAGAACCACACTGGACTCGCCTGGGGCTCTGCTGTTTATCATGTGACCAATTTCCTCTTGCTGATGTTCAGCTGTGGGCGATGCTGAGGCACATCACGGCCAGTCCCCTCAGAAGTGAGCTAAGGCTCTTTACAAGTTGCTAAACTCCCCTCACGAGAGGTTTGTCAACAGGAGTGCTGACATCTCCTCGCACACACGCGTGTCCACAGCAGCAATGGTCATCACTGCCAAGAGGTTGACGCAACCCAAGCGTCCATCAATGGATGAGTGGAAGCATCCAACAGAATGCAGTCAATCCACACAATGAAATGCCATGTGGGCATAAAAAACAGTACCGTTTTGGGACTTCCCTGGTGGTCCAGTGGTTAACAATCTGCCTTGCAATGCAGGGGACGTAGGTTTGATCCCTTGCCGGGGAACTAAGATCACACAGGCCTCAGAGCAGCTCAGCCCAGGCTCCACAACTAGAGAGTCCAGGAGACTCAGTGAAGAGCCTGTGTACCACAACTAAGACCCGATATAGCCAAATTAATAAATATGCAAAAAAAAGTACTGCCACATGCTACAATGTGGATGAACCTTGAAAACACAATGCTGAGTGAAAGAAGCTAGACACCAGAGGCCACGATGTTGCATGAGCCCGTGCATACGAAATGTGCAAACAGGCAAGTGCAGAGAGACAGAAAAGGGCTGGGAGAGGAAGGATGGGGAGTGACTGCCGGTGGTGACGGGGTTTCCTCGGGGCATAACGGGAATGTTCTAGAGCTAGGCAGATAACAACTGCACATTATAAATGTACTAAGTTCCACTGAAAGATTCAGTTAAGAATGGTGGATTTTACATTACACGAATTCCACCTTAACTGAGAATGAAGAAGAAGAATGAACTGAGAATGAACTGAGAAGTTGCCGACCACGGGGCCAACCATAGCACAGGAGTGAAGGAAAGGGCCCGGCGGGGCGGCCCACCCGCTCACCTGCCGGGCGATGCTCTGCACCAGCTTGTCCATGGTGAAGCCCACGTAGGCGTGGATGGTGAACATCTCGCGCAGCGTGTCCTCGTACTGCGTGGGGTCGATGCTGCCCTCCAGCAGGCTCCGCACCATGTCCAGGAAGGCCGGGTAGTACTCCTCCAGCTCCACTTCACCTGCGGGCGGCACCCGGTCACTGCAGGTCTGGCTCACACACGCTGCCCACCTCCCGGCCCAGGCTTCCTCAGGGCAGCCGTCGCCCCTCCCGGCGCCCAGCGGGCGGGCCCCGGGGCTCACTCGGCTGCTTCAGCCGAAGCTCCATGGCAGGGTCGTTGCCCTTCTCACGGCGGCCCTCGCACAGCAGCTTCTCCCGCTCCTTCTCCGTGCGGTACTCCAGAAGCTGCTTCTGCGCCTGGCGGTAGATTTTCAACAGCCTGGAGCACAGCGTCTGATGGAGGCGCAGGAAGAAATACCAGTTGTTGTTGGCAAAAAAGAGGCTGTAGACGTCATCCAGGGGCTTGTGCTGCGGTGGCTGCGGCTCCGGGGCCGGCGCCTCGCCTGCGGCCCCCTTCTCCTCTGGGGGACTGCTCTGAGGCCCGGGCGCTGGCTTCTTCCGGTCGCCGCCAGGGTCTGCAGCCTGCCCCGGGGGGCTGGCCCGGCCCTCGTCGGCAGAGTCCTCAGATGCACCCAGGTCCAGCTGCTGGGAGAAGAAGAGGCTGGGCACGAACTGGTGCACCAGCTGGTGGATGGTGCCCTGGTCCTCCTTCTGGATGGCTGGCTGCCGCTTCACGTAGTAGCTGATGAGGGCGGCCGCGTCCTCCAGGATCTGCCTGTCCTCGTACACGAAGATGAGGTGCGGCTCGCTGGAGGGGGCACTGCGGCCCTCCGAGTGCTGCTCCTGATGCTGGGAAGACAGAGCGGCCACTGGACAGGAGACCCGTGTGGAGACCCCCCAGTCAGGGCTCAAATGGAGGCCACACCCCCACCACCAAGGCCTCCAACAGTGCCGAGACCGGGAGGATGAGGGCAGCCTCAGCGCAGCACGGGCCTCTGCCGCCATCATTCATTCACACTCAGCCAGGCCCTGGAAGACCTGCGACTGCTCCCACTCCAGTTCCTGCCCCTCCAGCCTTGCCCGCCTGGCTGACACCACCCTCACGTCTCCCGCCGCTGTCCATTCCCCACCTGCCACGAGCCCTCCACGGAGCTCCTATTACCTGGCGCCAGCACAGGCCACCCACCTGCTCGTTCCCGTCTACCAGCCCACTCTACAACACCCCACACCGAGTCTAGAGCCACACAGGAGCGCCATCAGCCCCAGCTGCCCCACTTCCTCCGCCCCAGGCCTTCGCACATGACTCAGGAGAGGACCCTGGCCCTGGCGCACCACCCCACACTCCTCTGATGCTGTGGGGGTGCTCAGCTTGTCCTGCTGTGCACGAGACCTTCACACGTGCCTTGGCTCTTTCTCCCCGGAAAACCTCGTCATTGGGCTCATCCTTCCCTGCTTTCTTTATCCAGTCAACAACTCTCCTTCCAGCAAATCTGAACACAATCTCAGTACCACACAGCGGTGCACAAGCTGCCCCACATCGTACCCTGTCCTGGTGATGCCGGTCCCCTGCAGGAGACATCAGAGGCAGGCACACCAGGTTCTGGGAAGAAGCGAGCATGGACGCTGTCCCTGTGAGCGGGGTGCCCTGAGGGCAGGCCTGGCCCTCCATCGCGCTCTCAACAGTGGCCCTGCGGGGTTACCCAGATGCCCTTGGAACGAGGGCCCGAAGGGAAAGAGGGGCAGGGCCTCTTAGGCTGCCCCCTGGCCAGGGACTTCACCTTCTGGGACAGGAAGCTCATGTGCTCGCATATCGACTGTCAAACCTGCAGCACCCAGAGACCTCCCTCCCTCCTCACTGGCGGGGAGGGCGGAGTCTGAGCGAGTCCCGGCAGGCAGAGGTGGGGTACGGGCGCTGCAGCTCAGCCTTGCTCCCGGCTCTTCAGTGTGACCTTCATCCTGCTGCTTCTGAGGCCCCACCTTGTGTGTGTCATAAATGCCCTTCAAAATCTTCTGGCCAAGTTCTGGAGCTCATAACAGACTGGCCTCTGCGAGCCACGTGACAGCAGAAGGGTCTTACTGCCCCAAGCACGAAGGAACCGCACACGTAGTGCTCACCAGGCCCGGTCCCTCTCCCTCAGACCCCAGGGAAGGCCCTGCGGGACTTTGCTGATGGCAGCGGGGCGGGAGGGGCTGCGCCACCCGTTCTGGGGGGGAGGGTGGAGTCTCAGGCCTCAAGGATCTGCAGCCTGAAGTGCAGAGGCCAGGTCACAGGGTGGACCCTGGGGCTGGGCGGTGGGCGCCGAGCGCGGCAGGGAGGCAGGAGGGAAGGTGGTCTCGGCCAGCACCCTCAGTGGTCTCCACGGCCGTGTGGAGGAACACGAGCTCCAGGCAGGATGAGCCTCCCAGGGGGCCTCGAGAGCCTGGAGGTGAGACCCCTGCTGCTCGCTGCTCCGGACCATGTGCGGGAGAGGAGGGGAAGTGGCCTGGCCATGGGGCACTCGGTTAGGGACTCTGCTCCCTGACCTGGGCTCCGGCACTGGGCAGCGGCCCCTCCTTCCCCGACAGCCAACGCCCAGCGGGCCGCCCCCCACCAGGATTCCTGCCTCAGGCTCCCGCTAGGAACTCTCCCCGCAGGCACTGTTCAAAGCCCAGCTCCTTGAGCCCAGGGCCTGGCTGGCCTCACTCGGCCCCGTGAGCCAGACCACACCAAAGCCGGGCAGTGCACTAAGACGGCAGTGTGCTGGCGGCACGTGGCGCCTTCGCCTGCTGCAGCTGGGCCGGGCCAGGGGCCAGCTCCTGCGCCTCAGTTTCCCCACTGCTAAAACTGGGACAGTAACAGTACTATACAGTAAGGCCTGCAAGTAAGGGTTAGATGGGACGCTCCTCGTGGCCCACGGCGAGCAGCAGCAAAGGAAAGCTGCCGGCCCCAGTCACCTGAAGGAAGGTCCAGTGAGGGGGCGAGGAGCTGAGGAGCCTACCCTCTGCTGACGGCAGGGCGCCTTCCTGGGTCAGCCCGAGGCGGGCGGGAACAGCCCTCCTATCCGGGAGATAGGCCTGGAGAGCCAGGCCCCGGCTGAAGGGCCTCACCTCATCATAGACGCTCTCGATTTCGTTGAGCAGGCTCTTGGAGCGAAGGGCCTTGGTATCGTTCTGCTTGAAGTTCACGGCCTGGTGGTCCAGGGACTTGAGGTACGCCTTCTCATATTGCTCCCGCCAGATCTTGTTGAAGCCCTGCTGGGCCTCCCGCCACTCCTCCTCCTTGGCCTTCAGCCTGTGGGGCGAGCAGGCTCAGCCCGGGGACGGCCCAGCACACCTGTCTTCCACCGCAGACCCACTGACCCGTTCCATGCCCGGGACGGCCCGCTCCAGGCACGGGGGCTGGGCTCTGTGCTGGATGAAGGAGGCAGTGGGAACGGCTGCGGGGACCTCGCTACAGCCGGTCTAATGGTTACTCAAATATCACTGTCCTGAAGCTCCTCGCTGTCCCGGCCTGCACTCTCTGCAGCTGCAGGCTCAGCCACGGGGCTCCCTGCTAGATGGGACTGTGTCGGGCTCACTCACATCTGCGCCCCAGCACCAGGCCCCAGCACCCAGGGCAGCCACTTAACCAGTAACTGTTCATAGCACAGGGAGGGTCCCAAAATACATGATTAAATAAAGGGCAAGCCATGACATAGGACGGTGCTGTTTCTGCTTTAAGATGATGACTGGATATGATCATGTGCAGAGTGGAATGTTTGAGACGGACATGAAAAATCACTAACAGCTGTACTTGCCTCTTGGGGATTTAACAGGGAGAGAAAGGAAGACCAAAACACAATCAACCAGCCTGAGTCCCCAGGGCCCCCCTCACGATTACACCTGTGACAAACAGCAGTAATGAGCCCCTGGGCAGTGTGGTGAGAAGCGTGAGGGCACCTTTTTAGGACGACGGGGACGGCGGTGACAGGGTTCTTCTTGAGGCTCTCGATGATCTCTGGGGCCTTGTCGCCGTAAATGCGGTGGATGGCGCGGCGCTGGATCACTTCTGACGTGCCCCCCAGACAGTCGTCCAGCCGGAACTTCTCCTGGTCTTCTGGCGCCATGCGGGACAGCTTCTTCTGGACGCTCTCCAACACCCGGATTGTGGCCAGGTTGGTCTCCAGGACAACGTCTAACTATGGACAGGAAGGCAGAAAGAGGTCAGCGGGTCAGCTCATCCCCCAGGGATGAGCCTGGGCCAGTAGAAGGGATGCTTGGACAGGGCTGGGAAGGGGTGATGGATGCAGGCCCGGGGACTGGAGCGAGCATGACTGGTTACAGATCCGGGCCTCTGTGCTACCTGGACCTCCCCACTGGTGGACCCCTCTGAGGAGGGGGACGGGTCCTGGCCTGGCCCTCTTCACAGGCATTGAACGCACGTTACCCTCATCAGTGAGGAAGGGATGCATAGTATACACAGCCTGCAGGTGACTCCCCAAAATATGTGCTGGGGGCGGGGAGCCAATCCCCAAGTCACAGGCCGCGTGACTGCTTCCATTTAGGAGAGAACCAGCAGAGGCCTGGCTGGCGGCTGCTGAGGTCTGGGAGGCGCTCTACAGGAGCAGTGTGAGAGAGGCTACTGGGGGGATGGCCTGGTGTCTCGGCTGGTGCTGGGGACACGGACCTCCACGGGGGAGAGAATCCAGAGCTAGACACACACACACAAGACAAGCACTTATGCACAAGATCCTCTGCTCCCCCGACCCTACATACACATGGATACAAGTGCAACTAGGGAGATGTGAATAAGGTCGTGGGCTGGGTCAAGGTCCATAGCCCAGCTGTGACACTGCCTTAGAGATTTACAAGCCACTCCCACCGGGGCAAAGGTACCCGGAGCACTCTGTTATTTTTAAAACTGCATGTGAATCTACAATGCTCTCAGTAAAAAATTTTTGTTACAAAAATTAACTTAAGTGACCCTAACTGTAGCAAAGAGTTGTACACAACTGAGTGACTGAACTAAATTGAACTGTAGTTAATGAAATACACGCACACTTAAAAAAAAAAGGCACCTTCGCGGAGCCAGCCTGGAGGCCAGCAAGGCAGAGAAGGGAGGCTTTCAGGAGTGGCCCACTGCTGGAAGGCACTGGGATCGCCGACACCCTAGAGGAGACTGGCTGACCTCAGGAGGATCAGGGTGCGTCCCGTGGGGTGGGGGACACACAGAGGGGGCCGGAGGGAAGGCAGGGCCGAGGAGGGGCGCCCAGGGGCCCGCAGCGCCGCACGCACCTCGAAGCGCTCATCCTCACAGCGGTGCAGCTGCTCCTCGTAGGGCGTCTTCTTGGAGCTGACGAAGGTGGAGTCCTCAGACCAGGAGGGGAAGGACACCCAGGTGTCATTCAGCACCTGCGCCAAGAGGAAACGCCGTGACTGGAGAGGCAGGGGCCCGGTGGCCCGAGGGCTCTATTGTGCGGTCCAGCGTAGAAGAGCCAAGGATAAGGAACAATCTGCAGGAAATACGTTCGATCCCTGGGTTTGGAAGATCCCCTGGAGAAGGGAAAGGCTGCCCACTACAGTATCCTGGCCTGGAGAACATAGTCCATGGGGTCACACAGTGTGACAATGCTGAGCGACCTTCACTTCATTTTGGTTCACTGATTTTGTTGCTGTTTTAGTTGCTAAGTCGCGTCCGATTCTTCTGTGACCTCACGGACTGTAGCCCGCCAGGATCCTCTCTGTCCATGGGGTTTGCCAGGCAAGAATACTGGAGTGGATTTCCATTTCCTCCTCCAGGGGATCTTCCTGGCCCAGGGATCAAACTCACGTCTCCTGCATTGGCAGGCAGATTCTTTACCACTAAGCCACCAGGGAAGAGCAAATCATACTAATGGAAACATTAATTTAAAAGTGGTTTTAAGAGAAAATGTGACTTTGATCAAATGAACAAATCTACTACTTCGGGGTTGGGAAACTTTCTCTATAAAGGGCTAGGTAGTAAATATTTTAAGTTGTGCAGGTCACTGTTGGGTCTACAGGGAAACAGCCTTTTATTGTGAATCACAGATGTTGCTTAAAAAAAAAAACCGTGAAGGTTTCAGCAATCGTGCATCGAGTGAGTCCATCAGGGCCATTTTTCCAAAAGTATTTGCTCACTTTGGGTCTCTATGTCACATTCTGGTGATTCCCATGGTATTTCAAACTTTTTTCACTGTTACTGTATGTGTTATCAGGACCAGTGATCAGCAACTCACTGAACACTCGGATGGTAAGCGTCCTTTAGAGATATAAATATTTTAAATTAAGGTGTATACTGTTGCTGTTGTTTTCAATATAACACTATGCTTTTGAACTGTGGTGCTGGAGAAGACTCTTGAGAGTCCCTTGGACTGCAAGGAGATCCAACTAGTCCATCCTAAAGGAGATCAGTCCTGGGTATTCATTGGAAGGACTGATGTTGAAGCTGAAACTCCAATACTCTGGCCACCTGATGCGAAGAGCTGACTCATTTGAAAAGACCCTGATGCTGGGAAAGATTGAGGGCAGAAGGAGAAGGGGATGACAGAGGATGAGATGGCAGCGTCATCAACTCAATGGACACGAGTTTGGGCAAACTCCAGGAGTTGGTGATGGACAGGGAGGCCTGGTGTGCTGCGGTTCAAAGAGTCGGACACGACTGAGAGACTGAACTGAACTGAACTGATAGCACACTTAATATAGACCACAATATAGCATAAACATAACTTCCATATGCACTGGGAAACCAAAAATTTATGTGATTAGCTTTACTGTGGTATTTGCTTTATTGCAGTGGTCTGGAACCAAACCCACAGTATCTGCAAGGTAATGGGACTTCCCCGATGGCTTGGTGAAGCCGAATGTAATGCAGATGTGCATTCAATCCTCGGGTCAGGAAGCTCCCTTGGAAAAGGAAATAGCAACCCATTGCAGTATTCTTGCCTGGAAAATCCCACGGACAGAGGAGCCTGGCAGGCTAGAGTCCATAGGGTCGCAGAGTCGGGTACGACTGAGGGTGTGAGCATACATGCCCGCACCCACACACGCCTGGACTCAACTCTGCCTTTGTTCCGGTAAAGCAGCTGCAGACAGTATGGAAACAAACAGGCCTTACTTAAAAACACAGGCTGTGAACCAGATTTGGTTCATGGGCCATGCTCTGCTTACTCTCAGACTACATATCCTGGAATCGAGCAGGCACTCTTGAATTCTGGAAATGCAGTAAGACTGTCAACTAACTTCAAAAAAGCGTCCAGTGGTCAAGCTAAAGAGAAACTCGCTGAGGGCAGTGAACCTGGAACAGAGTGGGCTCACGGCAGATAAATCTCAGTCTGAATGATGGTAGATAAGCCAAAACCTGTGTGCTGGCAGCATGTGCTTTGTGGCTTGCAGGGCCACCTGCAGGGTAAGAAACCATCATCTCTGCCAGGGCATTTTGTTTTGCTACATCCCAGGACCATCTACCACTCAACACCCAAGGGGATCAACACCCTTCCATCCATCCAGGACAGGTGACGGGGGTTTTGTGGAGGGGCAGGACACAGGCACCACGCAAGCTGATGGAGCCCCCGTGGACGCTACCTCTTTGCAGATGGCTGTCCTCCCGCTGCACTTGGGCTGCTGGTAGGTTTTGGGGAGCGCCCGGTAGCTGGATCCGATGCGCTTGCACGAGGCATAGTCAATCTCCCGGCTTATTCCGTCCCCAGATCTGTCATTCATGGGTGGGGCAAAGGACAGCTCTTTCACCCCCAGGAAGGACTTGAACTGTGCAAAGAGTTCTGGAAATTTCCTTCAGAAGTAAAGACAAATGGGATGGGGGGAGGGAGGGATTAATCAGGATCTTGGGATTAGCAGATACACACTACTATATATAAAATGGATGAACGACAAGGTACTACTGTATAGCACAGGGAACCATATTCAGTAAACTGTAATAACCTATAATAGAAAAGAATCTGAGAAAAAATATATATGGATAACTGAATCACCTTGCTGTACACCAGAAACTAACACGATTGTAAATCAACTACACTTCAATTGAGAAAGAAGTCTTAAGTACTTTCCTGGTGGTCCAGCGGTTGGTAGCCCACCTGCCAAAGCACGGCATGTGGGTTTGATCCTTGCTCTGGGAAGATGCCACATACTGCAGAGCAACTGCTGAGCTCTTGAGCCCTAGACCCCATGCTCCGCAGCAAGAGAAACCCCCGCAAAGAGAACCCCGAGCACCGCAACTAGGGAGGAGCCCCCCCCTGCTGCAACTAGAGAAAGCCTGTGCTCAGCAGTGAAGATCCAGCACAGCCCCTAAAAAATTAATTTAAGAAAAAAAGACAAATGGTAAGGCAGCCTCCTGAGGGCCTTCTGAGGATGATCCAGAGATATCAGAATGGCTTCGTGTTGATGCAGGTAGTTAACAACGGTCAGAATCAACTTCAGAAAGGAGGGGTGAGAGATGGAACTAGCATCCAAGATGGTGAAGTCATCATGTGTGTGACTGTCACCCCCCGCCATCCCTCTGTCACCAACCAGGCTCCACCACTCGTGGCAGGTCCTTGAAACACCCAAGATAAGACTGACCCAGGCTGGCAGAAGCTGGAGTCAGCGATGTTCCTTGACTGGAAGGGGCTGAGCACCAGGCCACGGGCTGGCAAACTAGTCAACCCGCCCAGGCCTATCTGCAGAAAGATTCACTGGTGGACGGTCACATCCATTTGCTTAGCATTTCTTTGTGCATATTTGCTTGTGGATGATGATGTCAGAAGCTGGGTGGTCATGACCCTCGGTCCTTGACAGAAAAAGTCTGCTTCCCTGCCCCAGAGCCCTCCTCCCTCATGAGAGAGACCCTCTCTGTGGACACATTCTCAGGAATCATAACAGAATGGTCGCGCATGTCGACAGGAAGATTTTAAGGCAACTGACCCCCAGTGTCATCTGGACTGTTTAAATGAATATCAAATTCTACAGAAAGGGTGCGGATATGTTGACAGCCAGTGCGGTGATTCTGCCTGGTGCCTAAGTCAAGCAGTCTCAGCTCCTTAACTGTGTGCTCCGAGACGGCCGTCTGCTGTAGCCCACCTTTAAGGACCGCCTCCCCCACCCCCAGCTTGGCTCACAAGAAAAGCCCACAGGCCAATGGAAATGCAGGCAAGGAAGACGACAACATCAGAGCAAAGGGTGTCCAAGGTTACGGCGGGATAAACCACTCTGAAGGGGGGCGACCCCGCCCCTAACTCCAGCCACACTGTCACTAGGGAGCAGCTCTCTGGACCACTGCACTCGGCCGCCCATGATGTGCAAACCCAGAAAGCAGTTCACACATGCAGAGAGAGGCCTCCTGGGGGAGGGATGCCACATGAACAGTAACTCAGCTGGGCATCAGATCAAGACGGGCGAGCAGGGGGCTTCCTTGGTGGCTCAGTGTGTAAAGAACCTGCCTGCCAATGCAGGAGACGTGGCTGCAGTCCCCGAATCTAGGAAGATCCCACATGCTGCTGAGCAACAAAGCCCATACACCGCAATTACTGCGCCCACACGCCGCTATTGCGCCCGCACGCCGCGACTACTGCGCCCGCACGCCGCTACTGCGCCCACACGCTGCTACTGCGTCCGCACGCTGCGACTACTGCGCCCGCATGCCGCAACTACTGCGCCCGCACGCCGCTACTGCGCCCTCACACCGCGACTACTGCGCCCACACACCGCTACTGTGCCCGCACGCCGCCGCTTACTGCGCCCGCACGCCGTGACTACTGAAGCCTGGCCGCCCTAGGGCCTGTGCCCTGCAGGAAGAGAAGGCCCTAAAATGAAAAGCTTGCGCGCCACAGCTAGAGTGGTCCCTGCGCACTGCAACTGGAGAAAAGCCCGCCCAGCTACAAAGACCCAGCACAGCCAAAAATAAACAAAACTGAAAAAAGAAAAGAAAAAAGGAACCAGCCACATTTTAGCTGAGCCTTGTGTGATGCTGCCATCCTGTTCTGGGTGGCATTCCAGAGTGTTAACAGATCTTCAGCAGGCCTAGAAAGTTAACCCAACGGAAGGGACCAGCCTGATGGGTGCGCACTCAGCCCAACGGAAAGGACCAGCCTGATGGGTGCGCACTCAGCCCAACGGAAGGGACCAGCCTGATGTGTGCGCACTCAGCCCAACGGAAGGGACCAGCCTGATGGGTGCGCACTCAGCCCAACGGAAGGGACCAGCCTGATGGGTGCGCACTCAGCCCAACGGAAGGGACCAGCCTGATGGGTGCGCACTCAGCCCAACGGAAGGGACCAGCCTGATGGGTGCGCACTCAGCCCAACGGAAGGGACCAGCCTGATGGGTGCGCACTCAGCCCAACGGAAGGGACCAGCCTGATGGGTGCGCACTCAGCCCAACGGAAGGGACCAGCCTGATGGGTGCGCACTCAGCCCAACGGAAGGGACCAGCCTGATGGGTGCGCACTCAGCCCAACGGAAGGGACCAGCCTGATGGGTGCGCACTCAGCCCAACGGAAGGGACCAGCCTGATGGGTGCGCACTCAGCCCAACGGAAGGGACCAGCCTGATGGGTGCGCACTCAGCCCAACGGAAGGGACCAGCCTGATGGGTGCGCACTCAGCCCAACGGAAGGGACCAGCCTGATGGGTGCGCACTCAGCCCAACGGAAGGGACCAGCCTGATGGGTGCGCACTCAGCCCAACGGAAGGGACCAGCCTGATGGGTGCGCACTCAGCCCAACGGAAGGGACCAGCCTGATGGGTGCGCACTCAGCCCAACGGAAGGGACCAGCCTGATGGGTGCGCACTCAGCCCAACGGAAGGGACCAGCCTGATGGGTGCGCACTCAGCCCAACGGAAGGGACCAGCCTGATGGGTGCGCACTCAGCCCAACGGAAGGGACCAGCCTGATGGGTGCGCACTCAGCCCAACGGAAGGGACCAGCCTGATGGGTGCGCACTCAGCCCAACGGAAGGGACCAGCCTGATGGGTGCGCACTCAGCCCAACGGAAGGGACCAGCCTGATGGGTGCGCACTCAGCCCAACGGAAGGGACCAGCCTGATGTGTGCGCACTTAGCCCAACGGAAGGGACCAGCCTGATGGGTGCGCACTTAGCCCAACGGAAGGGACCAGCCTGATGGGTGCGCACTTAGCCCAACGGAAGGGACCAGCCTGATGGGTGCGCACTTAGCCCAATGGAAGGGACCAGCCTGATGGGTGCGCACTTAGCCCAACGGAAGGGACCAGCCTGATGGGTGCGCACTCAGCCCAACGGAAAGGACCAGCCTGATGGGTGCGCACTCAGCCCAACGGAAAGGACCAGCCTGATGGGTGCGCACTCAGCCCAACGGAAAGGACCAGCCGGATGGGTGCGCACTCAGCCCAACGGAAGGGACCAGCCGGATGGGTGCGCACTCAGCCCAACGGAAGGGACCAGCCGGATGGGTGCGCACTCAGCCCAACGGAAGGGACCAGCCGGATGGGTGCGCACTCAGCCCAACGGAAGGGACCAGCCTGATGGGTGCGCACTCAGCCCAACGGAAGGGACCAGCCTGATGGGTGCGCACTCAGCCCAACGGAAGGGACCAGCCTGATGGGTGCGCACTCAGCCCAACGGAAGGGACCAGCCTGATGGGTGCGCACTCAGCCCAACGGAAGGGACCAGCCTGATGGGTGCGCACTCTCAGAACCACCAGAGAAGCACCTCCTGATGACTCTAACTACACCTCTGAGCATCCCAGTCCAAGCGCGTGACCTCGGCACCGACCACAGGGAGAAACCGAGGCAAATGTCCATCAAAACAGACCCTGCTGAGAAACTCACGATATGTACAAGTAAGGGAACACCATGCAGTCACTAAAAATGATCGTGTGGGTCTAAGAATTGCTGAGTTTAAAAAAGGAGAGAGAAGGCTGTAGCCCAGCCTGACAGTGTGGTGCCACTGACGTGAAACTCAGCAGCCACACTCAGGTCTAAAGAAGAGAGGGTGAATGAAGGGCCGGCTTCCAGGTCTAAAGACGGGGTGAGTGAAGGGCCGGCTTCCAGGTCTAAAGAGGGGGTGAGTGAAGGGCCGGCTTCCAGGTCTAGAGAAAAGAGGGTGATGAGTGAAGGGCCAGTCTATGGCCATACCACCCTGAACGCGCCCGATGTCGTCTGATCTCGGAAGCTAAGCAGGGTCAGGCCTGGTTAGTACTTGAATGGGAGTGAAGGGCCAGCTTCCAGGTCTGATCCCCCTGAGCTCGCCCACCACAACACAATGCCTCTTTTATGAAAGCTTGCCCTGGGGAAAGGGAGAGATATCCACTCAGGCCTGTTTCCTCAGCTGTAAAATGTATTGAGATATAGCAAATACACTTACATTCTTGAGTTCATAGAAGGCTAAAAAAAAAACTGGTCCCCTTTTCAGTTTCTAACTGGTCCTGATGAGAAAGGAAAGCAGACCCTGACACTGTAACAAATGCTGTTGAGATGCTCTCTTCTGCAACTTGCAGTGAGTGAATAAACAGAAGAATAAACCACAGAAAGAGGGGAGACCTTTGCCTCCTGACGGACAGAGGGATGTGGGGGCACCATGAAGATGCATTTGGCAAAGTGCACCCATGCCACGGGGATGCCAATGCAGACATGGGAAAGAATAAACCTGGAGGGAGAACCTAGACGTGAAGAGAGACCTACAGACATACTAGAAAACAAAGCCCAGACCAGTTTTGTGCTTGGAGCCTGAGCCGGAGCTGTGTGCCTAGTGGTGTCGGCCCGGGTTGGCTGCATCGTGATCAGTGCAGAGAGGTGGTCACTCTTAAGCCAAGGGAGGGAGCATGAGTGACATGGCACATGGATGGCTCCTGGAGGTTGGCGAAGGTCCATTTGTGACATGGGTTATGGGTACAAGGGAATTTGCCTAAAAATGATTTTACCAAACCATTCTTCAGTTATGTGGTTTCCTGGACCCGCGCTCTATTTTATGTGAAAAAGAAAAAGTTTAAAAACCTTTTTAATTATTAGGAAGGCCCAGGTAGCTGCCCCCTAGAGCCCGGCTGCCCCTGCACTTGTCTTGGGGCCTAAACAGGCAGGCTCCCCTGGTGACTCAGATGGTAAAGAATCCACCTGCAATGCTGGAGGTGACCTGGGTTCAATCCTGGGTCGGGAAGGTTCCCCTGGAGAAGGGAATGGCTACCCACTCCAGTATTCTTGCCTGGAGCATTCCATGGAGGGAGGAACCTGGTGGGCTATAGTCCATGGGGTCAGAGAGTCGGACACGACTGAGTGACTAACGCATACACACTGTGACAAAAAAGCATGTCATGTGTAGGGAGAACTCACCATGTGAGAGACGTTAACAGTCTTCAGGCAAAGCTCACTTGGAGCTTTTTGAAAAACTGTGTAGGTATACTTATAATCCCCTTTTGACAGCATGGAAACAGGCTCAGATGGGGCTCGGACCCAGGCTGGATGTGACCAAGCTGGTGAGCAGGAAGCACGCTGGCAGCCAGCACACGCCCCTTCCCACACACAGCACCTCCAGACCAGCTCCATCCCCTCGGAAGCTGCCGGCTGGGGGTGGCTCACACAGGGCAGCAGCATGTGATGGAAGTGGGTCACTGATCTGCTAACAGCACTTCTCTTGGGGCACCAGGGATGCTGACCAGTCATTTCATTCTTCCTGGTAATTTCTGATAGAATTTTAAAAAGCATAATGAATCTCCAGGGAATTATGCCAAGTGAAAACAGCTGATCCTGAAAGGTTACACAACACACAATGTATGACTCTACCTAATTCTCTTGCCATGTAAGCTTTAGAGAAGAAGCACAGGTTTGAGGGGTTGCCAGGGGCCTGGGGCATAGGAGGGATGTGGATCTGAGTATCAAACACCAACACCAGGATTCCTGTGGTTCCAAGGCTGCTCTGTACCTGCACAGTGGCAGGGGACACACCAGCCTTCACAGGTGATACAACTGTACATATACACACACATAAAAGGGAACATGAAAGGACGGGTGGGTCATCTGAAAGTCAACATCCTGCTTATGACACTGACTACAGATGTTACCGTGGGGGAATGCTCCCCAGAAGTTCTGTGTTCTTTCTCACAACTGCTGGTGAATCTATTGTGATGTCTCTAACAATTCCAACTTAAAAGAAAAAAATCGGAAAAAAACAGATATCCTGTTTTCCAAATACAACAGCCAAAAGATGGGTGAAAGGCATTTGTGGAACAAAATACAAGAGGGGAGAAGTACCACTCACCCTAGGAACGGGCCAACCAGCTGGAGGAGCTCAGAGCCGGACACCAGCTCCTGGTTGAAGAGGGCGATGCAGCGGAGGAAGTTCTCATAGACCTCCTGGCTCTTCAGCACCCGGCGCACCTGCAGGGAGAGGCAGTCAGGGGCCCCTGCGGGCCACGCCCGCCCCGCGCCCACCTGGTCTACCTCACCAGGTGCACACGAAGCCACGAACACAGGCTCTAGACGGTGGCTGTGGTCTGCAGGGGACTGCTCTCCACTCAGCACGTGCCCAGAGCCATCTCACTGGCTCTGCCCACTGACTGGGCAGGAAGCCCCTGGACCACCCCTGCTTCAGAGAAGCCATACAGCTTCTGAGCGGCAGACGAGTGTCCCCAAATGTGGCATGGGCTCTGAGCTCAGCCTTTCCCACGTGTTTTGCCACCTCCTGCCCACTGCCCGCCACCTGCCGCCGCCTCCTCACTTGGACTGCTCAGATCTGAGCTGGGAGAGGCCAGCGTGGACCAGGCAAGGCCCGGAGGTCACTGGTCTCGCCGCCCACCTTGTCGAAGAAAGAGAACTCCTGCAGAGTGCCGTACTTGCCCACGGTGGCGATGGACAGGTCTTTGGTGCCACGGAGTTTCATCTTCTTCTGCGGAGAGAGAGTCCACGCCATGGATGCTCTGTGCATCTCACAGGTGGCCTGTGTCCATCATTGTGAGTCACAACATCGCCAACTGGAGCGTTCCTGACAGGAACCGTCATCAGGACCCCCATGGATGAACTTCTCAGGACCAGCCACCTCAGCCTCCAGGACCGAGTGCAGAGTGGAAGTCACACAACCACCCTGCCCACAATCTGGGATCTAAATCTCAGCAATTTAGTGCTTTTGCTACCAGGCAGGGGCATCAACAGTGTAAGAATAGCAAGGGAGTCATGCCCTTAGATATAGTATCAGAGACCTCTTCTCCTGCCTGCTCCTCCCATGGGCTGTGACTGTGATTGGGGGGGTATGAGGAGGGGGGGTGGCAATGAGAAGATCCTGGGGAAATTTGGGTTTTAAGTTGCTGTGATGATTGTTCTCTCTAGGCTGGACTTGGACCTGAACTTGACCACACTCCTGAGACATGGAGGATACTACCAAACCATCTCCCAAATGCCTGAAGAATGATGGGCATGTGTCAAAAGGACACAAGAGCCAGCCTAAAGGGGCCCCACTGGCCAGATCTGAGGTAGTTTAGAGTCAAGACAGACAATGATAGTCACAGATTATACTGTGCTTCCACTTTAAGGGGCATGGGTTCGATGCCCGGCCTGGCGACTGAGATTCTGCAAGCTGCAAGGCACAGCCCAGAAAAACAAAGCAAAACAAGACAAAAAAATACAAAAGAACATGACAGTCGCAGATTATAACCCGAGTCTATAAAGACACACATTAAACAGACAGAGATGGAGAAAAAGCTCTCCCTTCCAGTAGAAAGCCAACTAGCAAATACACAAGGGATGATGGAATAAGAAAATCACCATCACAGGTGAGGAGCACAACAGGACAGGAACCTCAGCGCCTCTCACCCCTTAGCAGGGCACCTTGTGCAGTGACCAACCTGCACAACTGTACATGGGCATCCTGCCCATGAGAGAGTTGTGAAGGTGAAAAGCAGCAGGCTGAGCAAGTGTATCCAGTTTATGCGGGAGGAGATGACACCACATCTCACACTCTTGTTAGCCAAGGCAAACAGGTGAACAGCCACCTTAGAGTTCAGCTGTCTTCCCAAGCTCCCACAGACAGTGAATTTCAAGCTGGACTAGGGTCTGGACTCAGCCTCCTGCCCCAGCCTGTTGCTCAGGGCCTCCACACGCTGCTCCCCAGGTCACCTACAGAGAAGGCCAGGCTGCTGAGAGTTGACACACACGTCTATGTGCACAGCTGACGGTTACCTTTGCTGGTGCAGACACGGGACGGAGGAGGGAGGGCCGGGAGCGCTTTTTGCTATGCTCCAGATTCTTCTCATGCTCGCTCTTTTGAACACTATTCATTTCGCATGGCCCATTTCCTGTGAACTAAACACAAACACAGGAGGTGATCGGCGCTGGTGAGACAGAGCCGGACCCACCAGGGCTGGTTCTCACTGGATCTGAGCAGGCGGAACCACCTGAGACTCAGCTCACGACCCCAAAGAGCACTGTCTGCCCCGGGCCAGGGGCCTGGTCCTAATGCGAACTGAGCCTGGCTCTCAAGATGCTCACGTTTACTGTGGGAAAGACCTGTGTACCCAGCTCACCACAGCTGCACTCCGTGAGGCTGGGAGAAGGCTCATGGAAGGCCTTGATGGATGAGGGTCCCGACAAGTGAGGGAGGACTCAGCGGGGAGACACTGAAGTTGGGCCTTGGTGCGGGACTCACCCAGCAGACCACTGACAGGGTGTCTGCCTGTGTGTCTGGGTGCACCGCAGGAAGGGAAGCATTTCAGGTGAGACGACCAGTATATGCAAAGCCCTGGCAGCAAGAGGATGCGGCTGATGGCTGCCAGGTCACTTGGGGGCCTTCCGGCCAAGTCTGTGTTCTTTCCTATGAATGAGAAAATGCATCCTGGAGGCAATGTCATCATGGGCGGGGGCGCCTCTCACTGCTGGTCCTCTGCACCAAGCACTGATTAGCAGGTCAGGGTGCTGGCAGTATGCATGAAGAATGGTTCTGGAAGAGTCGAGCAGCGTTTGCTGTCTGTATGGACGCCCAGGCAGGCACGGGAGAAGGCGGACAGGTCGCAGCTCTCCTGCGGGGCTGGGCTGCAGAGGCGCAGCGCCACCCACCCGCCACGGGGCCTCCATGCAGAGACAGCACAGGAAGGGTGGGCTGCGTGGGGGACCATGGTGCCTCCAAGCAAACAGAGGCGAACGTCAGCTACGAGCCAGCTCTGTGCTGCTGCCAGGGACAGGCGCATCTGACACACCGCTATTCCAAACAGAAGAAACCCCTAGGCATGCCCCAACAAACAGGGTGCCATTTTTTTTTTTAAAGGATAAACATTTGTTTGCACTCAGAGGTTTCTGGAAAGATATATAAGACATTTCTAAGTTTACTTCTGAGGAGAATGACTGGGAAACTGAGGCAAGAAGGAGGGAAATTTACTTTTCATACTTGATGCTCTCATTAACGCTTTTTTTCTATGAGCATGCACTATTTTTATATAAATAATTACAATGATAAAGATCTATTACTTAACTACAGATATAGTCAAAGCTGTGGTTTTTCCAGCAGTCATGTACAGATGTGAGTCAGACCATTAAGAAGGCTGAGTGCCAAAGAATTGATGCTTTCCAACTGTGGTGCTGTTGAAGACTCTTGAGAGTCCCTTGGACAGCAAGGCGATCAAACCAGTCAATCCTAAAGGAAACCAACTCTGAATACTCACTGGAAGGACTAATGCTAAAGCTGAATCTCCAGTACTCTGGCCACCTGATGCAAAGAGCTGACTCATTGGAAAAGTCCCTGATGCTGCGAAAGACTGAAGGCAAAAGTAGAAGGGGGCAACAGAGGATGAGATGGTTAGAAGCATCACCAACTCAATGGACATGAATTTGAGCAAACTCTGGGATACAGCGGAGGACAGAGGAGCCTGGCGTGCTATATAGTCCATGGGGTCGCAAAGAATCAAACACAACTTACCGACTGAACAATAACAAAGCCTGTCCCTGTCCAACAAAGTCTGTCCCTGTCCCTTAGGGGATTAATTCTTTGGAGGAGTAGCTATCCAAAGATTCAAGACTACTCAAGAACCTAAAGTAAAAAAAATTCTTAACTGGTATCTGCTGTAGATCCCAGAACTGGTGCAAACATCGCTTCTTAGAGGGGGATGGGTAATAATAGGACTTGGTGGTGGGGGCGGGCGGAATGGGGGGTGAGGAGGACACCCACTGCACGCCCAGTCAAGACCACCCAGCTGGAAAGCAAGCTCAGTTATCACCAACCTTCACCTAACAGTTCAGACAGTTCTTATGCCTCAGTCAAATGTCCCAATGTGCAAATGCCTGAGGCAGAAGGCCCCCCAGAAACCATTTAGGTAGGGGCTGGCTCAGTTTGTGCTTGTCAATAAAGTTTCACTGGCACACAGCCAGGCCCACTAGCCGATGTAAGGCCTGTGGTTGCTCTCCCGGCTCCACAGCAGGGCTGCGCCTTTGCCACACAGACTGTGTGGTCTGCAAAGCCTAAGATACTCACTGTTTGGCCCTTAACAGAAAAACTGCCGAGCCCTGATCTAGGCCAAACAGTCGAGTTTAATTAGGACAATATCCAATTTTACCTTTGGTTTCCTTCTCCTGCCGTTTTAGCAGAAACGTAAATGTAAGATCACCTCCTAAGATGAATTATATATACATACGAACATTTTAATAATTTTTAAAAGTTGATGAAATCTTTTAAAAAGCACAAACAGCTCTAATCACCCAATGTACACTTAAAAAAACACTGCTGGATTTTATAACAAATGCCATCTAAAGAAACTGAGTAGGTGCTTTTCTGAGGGAGATGCTTTTCTTTCCAGGGTGGGCTCTGTCAGAGTCCAGCTTGGTAAATGCCACACTGTGTCCGCCAGGGGGTGCTGCGACCACAGCGCTCAGAGAGCAAGAGGCTCTAACCCCTCACAGAGAGGCAACAAGGTAACTCAGGAACCAGGGCCTGCAGAGTTCACATGAGCTGCGTAGACGGCCAGTGTGACCAGTTACCAAGCGTCTGCTGTGCACTTTCCCCACAACTCCAGCAGACGGGGCCCCCCACCCACCCCCGAGGCAGGTCTGATGGCTGCTCCGCCAAGGCAGGACCCTGCTTTGTAACCCTGGCCTCATCAGGGCCAGACACTTTGCTTAAAAGCTTCCAACTGGCCTAGGGACAGACATTCTCATCTCATTTCTTAGATGGGGGAGCTGAGGGATGAGGAGGTGACCTGCCAGGCTCCTGCAGAGAGGAGGGGACAAAGCAGACATGGACCAGGTGTGTCATTCAGAGCCCCTATTCTGGTGCTGCACCCACCACCTCCTACCTAAGTGGGCTACGCTCCCGAGCCTCCCTGAGCGGGGCATGTCGTCCAGAACGGTGAAAGATGGCCAGGGACTCAGGAAGGCCTTTCCTCCCTGAAGCCACAAAGGTGGGCTGCACCTGGACCACATGGCGCTGACAGCGATGGCTCTGGGAAGGCCACTGGAGGATGCCGCTGGACACACATCCCTGCAGGAATGGCTCAGGAAGAGAACTGCCAACACCAAAGTCAGAGCTGAGATTCCAGACCCAGATCCAAGAGGATGACACCCAAAGACTATCCACCGTACGAGGGAGCAACAACGGCTTTAAAGCAGGGGGCACGATGCAGCTCGAGTTCCCTGGACACAGAGGCCCAAGTGCCCACAGCCTTGGGCTGAGCCGAAAGAAGAAGGGTATGCAGTGGGAAGGAGGTGCTGAGATCCCTCTGCTCCTCAGCCAGGTGGCCCCGGGAGCCAGTGAGGAGGGTCGGTCAGGAGCCAGTTAGGGAGGTCCTTGATGAGCAGGAACACGCACAGAGAAGGAAGATGGCAATGAAGCTGCGGCTGCGAAGGGCATTATTTGGCAACACAGAGAGAAAAACAAGTCGGGATTCTGAAGTTCAGAGAGATACACGGGGCAGACAGTGGACTTAAAGAAGCAACTCAGACTCGAGAGTAGGGCCATGAGGAGGCAGCCAGGCTGAGAGGCCCAGTGCAGATGCAAGTTCTCTGTCCCTGGGGGGTCCAGACACGGGCTGTGTTTCCCCCACCTGCCCAGGCATTTCTCAAGAGCTTTCGGCACGCCAGGGAGCAGGCTGGTGCTGGAGATGGGACGACCAGCCTGGATTTCAGGCTGGATTTTCCAGCACAACCATAGCAGCTCTTTCCAAAGCACTGAATATAAGCTGGGCCCTGCGAGAAGCACTTGAAGGACAATACCTCAGTCCCAGCCTAAGCAGGAGGGGTGGTCAGTTCCACATAAGAGAGAAGGCAATGAAGCCTGGGAGGTGACATGGCCAGCTCAAGGCCCCCTGCCGCACCCAGAGCCCAAGGAGGCCCAGGCTGTGTGCTCACTGGGCTCAGTCCAGCCCCCCAGGACACCTGAGACTCCAAGAGGGTGGGCAGGACTGGTTGCAGCTCCCGGACTTGACATCAGCCCCACAGACGGGCTGTGGCACAGAGCCAGCTTCTCTGGCTCAGTCAGGAAGTATTTCTGTGTGGAAACTACTCAGGGATGGTGCTCTGTGTCCTGGAGACAGTAACATGGGGATGAGCCCCAGATTGCACACCGGAAGTCCACTTGCTCAACCAAGAGTCTTGAATGGCATCCAAACTCAGACTGCTGTTCCCGTGGGAGCCCCTTCCTTCGAGACCTGCTGTCCTGCAGCACCGTGCCCCCATTGCACCCTCACTCAAGAAGCAGACCCGAGAGAGGCGGTGGTGACGCAGGAGGCTGGGAGGGGGACTCTGGTGTGCTCACCGCCCAAGCTGTCGTCAAGGGCAAAGAGAAAGAGCGAAGAGAGGAAATGGAATGCTCATCAACCTTCGAATAGAGGGGGCTTCCTCAGCCTGAGGCTGCTTACGAAAAGCCCCCAGCTCACATCACACTTGTGGTGAAAGACAGAAGCTTTTCCTCTAAGATCAGGAGCGAGACATGGACACCTGCTCTCACCACTTCTAATCCACACAATACTGGAAGTTCTGTCAGAGCAACTGGGCCAAAAAAGGAAACAAAAGCACACAAACTGGAAAAACTATGTAATGAGCAAATCCTAGGGAATCCAAGAAAACTATCAAAGCAAATAAACGGGTTCAGCAAAGTTGCAGGATACAAAATCAACACAAAAAAGCAGTGCTGTTTCTGTATATGAGCAATGACTAATGCAGAAGTGAAATTAAGAGAACAACTGCAGGACTTCCCTGGAGGCTCAGTGGTAAAGAACAGTTTCCCGATGCAGGAAGATCCCACAGGCCTCGGAGCAACTATGCCCGTCGACCACAACTATTAAGCCTGTGCTGGAGAGCCAGGGAGTGTAAACTACTGAGCCTACATGCCGTAACCACTGAAGCCCGTGTGCCTGGAGCCTGTGCGCCGAAGGAGAAGCCTCCACAAGGAGAAGCCCGCGCACAACTCGAGTGGCCCCCACTCTCCACATCTGGGGAAAAGCCCGAGCAGCAAGAAGACCCAGCCGGACAAAAACAATCAATCAATCAAGTTATACGCAGAAAACGTCCATGACAACAAAAAGGATAAAGTATTTGGAAATAAATTTAATCAAAGGGGTCAAGACTTACACAGTGGGAAAAAAAAACTATGAAACACTGCTGAGAGAAATTAAACATTTAAATAAAGGGAGAAATGCTGTGTATTTGTTGGGTAGAGGACTTCATCTTGTTAGGAAGGCAATACTCCCCCAAACAGTTGGAAGATTCAATGCAATCACTTTCAAACTCCCAATGGCCTTTTTTGCTAGAATGGAAAATCCAATCTTTAAATTCATATAGAACTACAAGGGGCCCTGACTAGCCAGAACAATCCTGAAAAAGAACCAAATCGGGGGGCCCATGCTTCCTGATTTTAAACTTACTACAAAGCAACAGTAATCAAGATGATGTGGTGCTGGCCAAAGGCAGACATGGAGATCAACGGATTAGAAGTGAGAGTCCAGAAATAAACCCATAATACTGGTCATCTGATTTCTGACAAGCGTGCCAAGACTATACAATGGGAAAAGAACAATTCCCTCAACAAATCAGACTGGACCCCTATCTCACACCATATACAAACATTAAGTCAAACTGGATCACCGACCCAAACACTAGAGCTAAAACAAAACAAGTACTAGAAAAAAACTTAGAGGCAAACCTTCATGACCTCAGAATTAGCAACTGATTCTTAGATTTGACAGTGAAAGCATGGTCAATGAAAGGAAAAAACAGGTAACTGGACTTGACCAAAGGACACTAACAAGAAAGTGCAGACAACCTAGAGAATAGAGGAAAATACCTGATAAGGGACTAACGACAAGAGTATATAAAGAACTCTTAAAACCCAACAACCAGGAGACAAACGGAAGACTGTGCAAAGTACTTGAATAGACAGTTCTCCAAAGGTAAACAGATGGCCAGTAAGCACATGAAATGTTCAGTATCATGAGTCAGCAGGGAAATGCAAATCACAACCATAACGAGATACCATTTCACGCCAACTCAAAGACTATCTTTTTTTAAAAAAAAAAGGAAATCTTGAGCATTGGTGATGATGTGGAAAACTGAAACCCAAGTATACTGCTAGTGAGAACGGAAAACGGTCCAGCCACTGTGGAAAACAGTCTGGCGGTTTCTCAAAAGTTAAACATACACTTACCATAAGACTCAGCAATTTCACTCCTAGGTACAGACAAAGAACCGAAAACATGTGTTCAAGCAAAACCTTGTACATGTGTGTTCACAGCAGCACTATCCACAGTGACCAAAGGGCAACAACCCAAGTGTCCATCAATGGATGAACAGATGAACAGACTGTGATCCATCCACACAAGGGAATTACTATCCGGCCATACAAGTGATGAAGTTCTGACACATCACAGATGAAGCTTAAAAACATGAGGCTGAGTGAAAGAAGCCATGTGCCAATCAAAGGCCACATGTCACATGATTCCATCTATCAACACAAGAAATGTCCACAACAGGCGAATCCACAGAGACAGAAAGCAGACTGGAGGCTGCCAGGGTCTCAGGAGGAGAGGATAGGGAGTGACTGCTAGCGGGGATGTTTCCTTTTGGGGTGCTGGGGATGTTCTGCAACTAGACAGAAGTGATGGTTGCACAACACTATGAATACCCTAAACACTACTGAACTGTACATTTAAAAATGGTGAATGTTATGTTACATGAATTTTCCTTCAATTTTTTTCTGAAAGCTGTTAAGTTCGCAAGAAAAGAAAAAGAGGAGGAGGAAATGGAAAAGGCAGCTTGGCAGGCCTCAGGCCACAGCAGAGAGAGAAAGGCTGACAGTGCAGTCTGCGCTCCCAAGCTCCCCAACCCAGGCCCCTCTGCCGCTCCCGGTTCTATGCCCCCGCCCCAGTCACGGCTGAGCCTCAGCCCACATCCACTCGGTCCCTCCGCACAGGCAGGCAGTGAGCCTGAGCCCTCCTGCACCATAGGCTCCGGTTACAGGCAGGTCTCCATTAGAAGACGCTCTGCCCTCCAAACCGGCCCTCACACCCACCGCTCTCGATCCAGAGAAGCCCTGTGGAGGACCTGCTCCAGGTCAGTGAGGGCGTGGAGCCTGCACGCGGGGCCCATGGATGGCTGCACTGGGCGTGGCTTTGGGGGAGTGGATAAGCCCGGCCTGGCCTGAAGGCTGCACTGAGGTGTGGGGCTCTGGCCGAGAATGTGGCCCCAGACGGGGGTGGGTGCTCCGTACTCACCAGGGAGCGCTTGGCTTCAGGCAGGAACTGTCCAAACTCGGAGAGCAGGTCCTCCTGGCCGCGGAAGAGGTTGGCCACCTCGGTGAACACCTCCTCTTCAGACATGCCTCGAAAGGGACGGCCCTTCGTGCTCAGCTGCTCCTTCTGTGGATTTTCAGGAAAAGGAAAGGAAAACGAGTCGTTAGGCAAGGAAGCAGGAGACACCCTAGGCCAGGACATTCCAGCATCCCACTGTGGATGAGAGATGGACGATTCACGAAAGACAGGCTCAGCAGGCAGAGCCCCTGACTGCTGCCACCAGGGGAGAGGGCCCAGCCTACTGCCTAGCTGACACCTGGGTTACCCCCCCAGCCACTCCCCTTCCACCGGCTCTGGAGAACCGCCCCGTGTGCTTGCATCTTGACCCTGCTGCGCAACTTGGCCTGAGCCCCAGCCATGGAAGCAGTCAGAGCTGGGAGCGTGGAGGCAGTGCGGGAGAGGCACGGTCACGGAAGGACCTCGCCCCAGCCCTTGAGCAGCACTGTTGCGCAGAGGCTGTGGAAGGGCAAGGTCAATGGCGAACCCACGCGGCTCCCAAGGGCAAGGGGACTCGTCCTGCTGGGCAGGGAAAATGAGGAGCTAGCGCTGGGTCTGGAAGGGGCAGAGGGTGAAGGAGGACAGGAAGGAACCTGCAGGTTATGGGACTTGCTCTCCCAGGGTCACCAAGAGCCCAGAAGGGAGATGGCTTGACCTGGAGCTTAAGACAACAAGATGAAGACCAGAAGGGTCGCAGGTTGGGAGGGCAGGAAGAGGTGAGGAGAATGCAAGTCGGCCGTCAGAAGTCAGTCCTTGGACTCCCCTGTTGGCACTGTGGTTAAGAATCTGCCTGCCAATGCAGGAGAGACTGGTTTGACCCCTGACTGGGCAAGATCCTACAGGCGGTCTGTGCACCACAACCGCTGAAGCTCGCGTGCTTGGAGACTGCTCCGCGACAAGAGGAGCCACCACGATGAGAAGCCAGCACACCACTTTTAGAGAGTAGCCTCGCTCGACACAACTAGAGAAAGCCAGTGCACAGCGTCAGGAGGTTCAAGAGGGAGGGGACATATAAATACCTATGGCTGATTCGTGTTGATACTCGGCAGAAAACAACAAAATTCTGTAAAGCAATTATCCTTCAATTAAAATAAAAACAAACAAACAAAAAAAAACCCAGTAGCCAAAAAAAAAAGAAGAGTGAATTAAAAAAAAAGTTAGTCCTTATCAACTTTACACACGGAATATGAGTGAGCAAGCAGCACGACAAGGCTTCAACATCCTCCCCCCAGAGCTGCAGAGAGGGGAGACAAGGAATGGGAGCCCTCGGCTCGCCCTCCCCTCCAGGCCCGCTTCACCCCGCGAGGAAAGGTACTTTCCCAATCCTGGCACACGGAGCTGCTGTTAGGAGGGAGAAAAAACTGCCTCCACCCTACCCTGCCCCAAGTTACCGGGACACTTGAAGGCCAAAGGAAAAACAGGCAAAGATCACTCAGCTCAGAGAACAAATACAAATCATTCCTATGCAGATAAAACAGTGATCAGACTAAGTGATGTTTGAATAAATACAATTTAAAACAGCATCACAGCAGGTGGCTCCATGGTAAAGAAGCCGCCTGCCAATGCAGGAGACTCAAGAGGCTAGGGTTCAATACCGGGGTCAGGAAGATTCCCTGCAGGAGGAAATGGCAACCCACCTTCAGTATTCTTGCCTGGAGAATTCTATGGACAGAGGAGCCTGGTGGGCTACAGTCCATGGGATCACCAAGAGTCGGACATGACTGAGCACCCACAACACAGTCACAGCAGTTTTGCTCATCAGACTGGCTAAGTGACTGGTGATGTCTGTGCAGGGTGTGGGGAACTGGGCGCTCTCATTACAAGGTGGAAAGAAAGCCTGGTGCCCCTGGCAGAGGGAAGCCTGGCACCATCTACGATCATGTGACGGGCGCACATTCTCTAACGGAGGGATGCACCTCCTGCAAATTTTCCCACAGAAAGAGTCAGCTATGCTCTAAGGCCTGTTTTAAACAGACATCTGTTTGGGACAAATACTAAAGAGTGATTTGAGCATGGTATGGATTCTTCATTTGCTACTAAGACAGAATTTTGTCCAGGAGTAACAAGGGGTGAATGTGGAGAAGCATACCTGGCTGAGCCAAGTCATGTGGGAAACCCATGACACCCGACACGCACACACCCTCCCTCAGCTGTTAGGAGCCACCCTTCCAATCTGGGGCGACATCAACCCATCGCATTTTAGGAAACTTCCTCCTGGTACCTCACAGTGACCTGCAGGCTGCAACCTTTCCACACCCACGTCCACAGCTGAGCCTCAGGCCTTCTCCAAGGTCGAGTGTTGCAATATTCACATCACGCTTAGCCATCTACCGAGTGTATGAAGGTGCTACCGGTTTCTGGTAGGTGCCTATATATATATATGTATCTATCTATATATATATATATTTTTTTTTTGCTGCGCTGGGTCTTCGTTGCTGTGCATAGGCTTCCTCTAGCTTCTGCGAGCAGGGGCTCCTCTCCAGTTGCAGCACTCGGGCTTTTCATGGCAGTGGCTTCCTTTCTTGGGGACCACGCAGGCTTCTAAGGCATGTGGGCTCGGTAGGTGTGGCACCCAGGCTTAACTGCCCTGAGGCATGTGAGATCTTCCCGGACCAGGGGTCAAACCTGTGTCCCCTGCATTGGCAGGCACTCTCAACCCCTGGACCACCAGGAAAGGCCCAGTACCTTTTTTTGTTAGTGTGTGGCTGACACAGTTTTGGAGGGTCATGCCCTGACCCCGTTTCCCATAAGCCCTGTGGCTGGGGCTTACGTGCAGACTGTGGTCACTCTGGGGACGTCAGGGCAGAGCTGGCTGTGCCTGTCCAGGCACACGACACATGTATGAAGCTGTGTAAGGGAACCTACTCCCCTCCACTGACCTGAAGCACTGTGCTTCAATCAGTGACCTCAGTGAACCACATTTAATTGGGTCAGCACCACCACTTTATAGCTAGTTTACGGATTAGAACCCCAAGGTTCAGGGTGGTGAGCAAAAGGACTCTGAAGGGCAGGGGTCACAGCTAAGGTCTGAACTGAGGCTTGACAGATGAAAAAAAAACAAGTAACGTGGCTAAATTTACTCTAGAGCCACTCTGGACTCACAATGTCTTAAAAAAAATTCAAATCCAGACTTCCCTAGTGGTCCAGTGGTTAAGACTCTGCATGCCAATGCAGGGAACACAGGTTCGATCCTTGGTCTAGGAAGATCCCACATGCTGTGGGGCAACTATGCCTGCAGCCCGCAGCTACTGAAGCCCAAGCACCCTAAAGCCCGCGCTCCGCAACGAGAAGCCGCTGCAAGCAGAAGCCCGTGCACCACAAGGAAGAGCACCCCCACTCACCGCAACTCAAGAAAGTCTGAAGAGCAACGAAGAACAGGGCGGCCAAAATTAAATAAATTAAAAAAAAAAATCTGAGCCAATGTTCTAAAATCAGAATAACTCACATAGAAATTCACACTGCCAGCTCCTCTTGAAGAAATGGATGGCCCCTGCTGCCAGGGTGCCTGTTGGAAAAGCAGGTGCCTGGCAGAATCTGGAGTGGAGGCCCAGGCGGCTGCATTTCCAACTGACTCCTGTGGCTGCGGCTGGAGAAGGCTGAGCTGTACCTTTCCCCTCACGCTTTCTCCAGATCAACCTGCAGCCCTTCGCTATGACCTTGGTTAAGTCAAACTTCTCTGCTCAATTCCCATCAACAGAACAGGTACCTTCCCTCTAATGATCCTTCTTGTCCCTGAGATGTTCGGACCCCGCAGAATCTGTGAAGGACCCATAAACCCCCACGGTTACAAACAGACTGGTGTTCAGAGCTGCCACGTGCAACCACTTCTCTGTGAGAAGCAGGAAGTTCTTAATGCTGTGCAAAGCGCAGCAGCTGCTGGAGGTGAGGCTGACAGGGCCACACGTCACCAGCACTAGTGCCTGCACGCGTTCAGGCCATCGAAATAGCTCCACTGGGCTTACAGGAAGCAAATACTGTCAATCTCATCATCATTTACGCTAAAAGCAATCTCACTTCTTCATTTCTCTTATTAAGGTTGTGCACAAGATTTCACTTTTAAAAGTGGGTCCTCGGGACTTCCCTGGTGGTCCAATTGCTAAGACTCTGTGCTCCCAAGGCAGGGGCCCAGGGTTCAATCCCTGGTCAGGGAACTAGATCCCACAAACCATAACTAAAAAATCTATATCACAACTACATGCTACAACAAAGAGCTAAGACAGGGTGTGGCCAAATAAATGAATGAAAATAAACATTTTTTTAAAAAAGGGGCTCTGTTGCTTAGAAAAACAAAAAGCAGCAGAGAGTCCACGTCTGGGCAAAGATGATGTCTGAACTCCTTGCATGACACTGATGCCCCTTGCCACTGGCCTGCCTGTCAGTCAGTTCAATTCAGTTCAGTCGCTCAGTCAAATCCGACTCTTTGTGACCCCATGAATCGCAACACGCCAGGCCTCCCTGCCCATCACCAACTCCCGGAGTTTACTCAAACTCATGTCCATCGAGTCAGTGATGCCATCCAGCCATCTCATCCTCTGTCATCCCCTTCTCCTCCTGCCCCCAATCCCTCCCAGCATCAGGGTCTTTTCCAATGAGTCAACTCTTCACGTGAGGTGGCCAAAGTATTGGAGTTTCAGCTTCAGCATCAGTCCTTCCAATGCATTTTCAGGACTGATCTCCTTTAGGATGGACTGGTTGGATCTCCTTGCAGTCCAAGGGACTCTCAAGAGTCTTTTCCAACACCACAGTTCAAAAGCATCAATTCTTCGGCGCTCAGCCTTCACTGTCCAACTCTCACATCCATACATGACCACTGGAAAAACCATAGCTTTGACTAGACGGACATTTGTTGGCAAAGTAATGTTTCTGCTTTTTAATATGCTATCTGGTTGGTCATAACTTTCCTTCCAAGGAGTAAGCGTCTTTTAATTTCATGGCTGCAATCACCATCTGCAGTGATTTTGGAGCCCCCAAAACTAAAGTCTGACACTGTTTCCACTGTCTCCCCGTCCATCTCCCACGGAGTGCCTGTACTCCCTGCCAATTTCCCTGAAGCCAGCTGCCCGCTCTGCCCTGGGACTTTGCACAGTCTGCCCGGCTCCGAGAGACTCCGTCTTTCACCTGATGGTTCTGACTGATCTGTTAAGATTCAACCTGAGGGACTTCCCTGGTGGTCCAGTGGTTAAGAATCCCCTTCGTGATGCAGGGGATGCGGGTCTGATCCCTCGTCTGGGAACTAACATCCCACCTGCCGCAGAGTTAACCAAGCCTGCATGACACAACTGGAGTCTGTGTGCCACAGTGATAGATCTACACGGTGCCGTGAAGACCGAGTACCACGACTAAGTCCCAATGCGGCCAAAGTAAGTAACTAAATATTAAAAGAAATTCAGCCTGACCCCTCATGGGGTCAGCAGCCTTCAACACTGATACACCTCTCCTTTGCACAGCCCTAAACTGAACTCTGAGGCAACAGCAACCATTCATCTCCATTGATCCAGTACCTGGCACGAGGCCCAGTTGTAATCAGCATAAATGAAGGGTAGTTCTATTGTCTAAATGATAACTAAGCCATTCTACAAAAGGAAAACTGTCTTCTTGGGGGGTTCTTTAATCCTCTAATGTGTGTTTCCCAAAGAGGGTGCAGAGGTGCCTCAGGGAGCAAACTGAAAGCAAACCCACACAGAACACCGACAGGCACACTCCTGTTCACAGAAGCGTGACTCACAGCGGCCGTCCGGTGGAAGCAACCCAAGTATCTGCTGATGGACGAAGGGAGAAAGAAAATGAGGCCAAGCCATACAATGCAATAATATTCCGCCTCAAAAAGAAGGCCATTCTGAAACACGGTACAACGCGGACGGACCTTAAGGGCATCACACTAAATGAAACAAGCCAGTCAAAAGCACAAATATGATGCCACTCGCAGGAGGCCCCCAGCAGAGCCGGATCCAGAGACAGAAAGTAGAAGGGCGGGTGCCAGGGGCTGGGTGAGCGAGGAAGGGGGAGTCACAAGAGTTTAATGGGGACACAATTTCAATTCAGGCAGATGAAAAAGTTCTGAAAATGCATGATGGTGATGGTTGCACAACAGTGTGACTGTACAGTACTTAATACCACTGAAGTGTACACTTAAAAATGTTTAAGTTTTACATATATATTCTACCACAGTAGAAAATAAAATTAACACAGAAAAAAAAAAAAAAGAGCTGATCAGAATTTTACAGGAATTCACGAAGAGAACCGGAATGCTTCTGCTGCACCTGACACTGGGCAGCGCCACACACCCACAGCAAAGCGCAACCTAAGCCTTACCTGGTAGGTGTGCAGTATCTCCAGGAAGGACCTGTAGATTTCCGGGTGGTCCAGAAAGCGGGTCTTAATTTTGTTCACATAGCTGATGGCATTGTTGAACTCCACGGAATCGGACTCCAAGGGCACCTGGGGTTTGTCCTCCTTGTACAGCACCTGTTGCTTCACGTTCTCTGCACAGTCGCTGTGGTTGTGCGAATTCTCCTGACAACAGTACGACAGTGAGTTACTGTCGGGCGTGACACGGGCAGCATACGTGAGAAACACCAGACTGAGCCACTGCAAGAGCAGGTAAAACTTAGCACAGGGCGGAGTTTTTTCCTTCAATACAGAACAAGTTTACTTCTGGGGGCCTGGAGAGGGAAGCGGAGACGGGGCACGCAGACACGGAGACGCTGAGTCCCCCTCAGCCTTCGGAGCGCCTGTGCATTCCTGGGTCTCACCAACTCACCTCTGCCCGATCCTTCTAACAAGACTCAGGGACCGTGAAACCAGGATGCACACTCCACACTTTGAAAAATTAGCATTCTCCAGAAAACTACAAAGAGTGGATTGTTCAATCCTTTTCAGAGCAGAATTCGGGGCCGTTTATAATAAAGTCTTCCCACCCTCTGGCCAGTCCATTTCAGCAAGACTGTTTTCAGGTGTGAAAGCTACTTGCTGTCAGCAGGCAGGAGACTGGGACCCTGCAGGTGAGTGAGGCCCACTATCCAGGTTGCCCAGGGTCGTGGGGCTTCTGGTGCTAAGCCCGGGGCAAGTTACATGAGAGAAGAGTGATGGGCCCTGAGCAGGCATCAAGTATGCTCTCCATTTACATGTTTTTCTGTTAACATAAATACAAATAAAAAACAGACACACGTCTCTCTTTCCCAGAAGTTGGAATCCTAATTCACAGTGGGACAGCCAGACAGGACCACCCCACAAAGGAGGTGATGTTTTTGTTTTTAGACTGGAATTTCATGTGTGGTCCTGAGGATGGCAAGACTGAAGGCAAAAGGAGAAGAGGGTGGCACAGGATGAGATGGTTGGATGGCATCACCAACTCAATGGACAGGAACCTGAGCAAACTCCAGGAGATAGGGGAGGATACAAAAGTCTGGCGTGCTGCAGTCCATGGGGTCGAAGAGTCGTACATGACTTAGTGACTGAACAATCACCTGAGAATGGCCTCACTCTGCCACTGACCACAGCTGGGCCATCGGGACTGACCCTCGGCTTCCTGCGGGTCCCCGCCTGGGTCTCAGGCAGGTCAGGATCCCTCTGGTTTGGCTCGAGGTCTTTGCATACACAACCCCTTTCAGGGAATCTTCTAGACCTCATCTCCTAGCACTTTGAGCCCCTTTCTCGCTTGCTTTTTCTCCACGGCACATACCACTTTCCTACAGGTGAGACATTTTACTTATTTTACTATCTGTCCAGCCCTGAGCTGCAGGGAGACTCCAGGGGAGCAGGGATTCTATTTTGGACATGGCTGTATCTCCAGTGCCTGCAGCAGTGCTTAGAAGAGAGTGGGCCTCATCCATGGCTGGGGATGATCGGGTGAACTCCCCTGGCACCTGCAGCTGACCCTGGACCCCAGGGGCCTCCAGGCACACTGCTGCCGCCCCCACCAGGCACCCCACCAGCACCCGAGTGGGTCTGCCAGCGCACCAGGGTTGCCACGACAAACACCAGAGGCTGGGCAGCTCCAGCAACAGGCACTTATTCCCCACAGTTCTGGAGGCTGGAGGGCCAAGCTCAAGGGGACAGCAGGGTTGGAATCTCCCAAGGCCTCTTGCCTGGACACCTGCCCCTCCTTCCTACTGCGTCCTCACAGGGCTGTCCCTCTGTGCGCACATACCCCTGAGGTCACTCCAAATGCCCACATTTCTTCCTTATAAGGAGAGCAGTCAGTCTGCACCAAGGCTCATCCTGATGGCCCCATTTTACCTTAATCATCTCTGTAAAGATCCTATCTCCATATACGGTCATATTCTGAGATACAGAGGGTCAGAACTTTGAGATATGGATCTGGGGCTCGAGTGGGGGTGAATTTGGGGTTCGGGTGGGTGCAGAGGCAACTCCAGGGAAAACAGACACAGGAGACCGAGCAGTCACTGTTTCTCCCGGCGCTGGAACTGGTTCTCAGTCACTTTGGGGTGCTCCTCCTGATCACCTCTCACTTAAACTCACAGAGATCTGTGGCGCACAGGCTTGTCGGGGGCGGGGGGAGGGAGCAGCCTTGAAGCCCAGGATGGTTTCAGAGGAGGCTGTGTGTTCACTGAGAGCTCCTTTCCCACTAGTATAAGGGGTCATTTTTAAGCACCACGTGCCTCCTCCAGTTCTCTGAAGTGAGTTACCGTGACAAGATGGAGAACCACCCCTGCAGACCAGGGCTCCACAAAAAAGGTCAGGTGGTAATGGTCCAACCACTGTGGCAAACAGCCCAGTGATTCTTCAGTAAGTTAAACATGGTCACCAGGTGACTGAGCAATTCCACTCCTAGGTATCTACCCAAAGAACCAAAAACAAGTGTTCAAACAAATCCTTATATGTGTTTGTTCACAGCAGCACTGTTCACAATTGCCAAAAGGTGGAAACAACCCTAGTGTCCCAAATGAAGGAACAAAACGTGCTCCATTTATGCAGTGGAATATCATTCAGCCTTAAAAAGGAAGAAAGTGCTGGTACAACATGTTGCTGTTGTTGTAAGTTGCTAAAGCTGTGTCCAAGTCTCTATGACCCCATGGACTGTAGCCTGCCAGGCTCCTCTGTCCATGGAATTCTCCGGGCAAGAATACTGGAGTGGGCTGCCATTCCCTTCGCCAGGGTATCTTCCCGACTCAGGGATCAATCCCAGGTCTCCTGCATTTCCGGCGAATTCTTTACCACTGAGCCACCAGGGAAACCCCAATACAACATGGATGACCTTCAGAAACACAATGCTGAGAGAAGGAAGCCCAGACATAAAAAGACATACAGTGCATGACTGCATTTATATGAAGTATTCAGAACAGGAAAACCTATAGAGACAGAAAGCACATCAGGGGCTGCCAGGGGCTGGGCGGGGTGGGGGATGGGGCCGAGGAGGTACATGTTTCTTTCCGGGGTAATAAAAATGTTCTGGAATTAGTGGTGGCTGCACAGTGTTGTAAATACACTGAAAAGCCACTACACTGGACACACTGAAATGGTTATAAGGATGAATTTTACGTTACGTAAACGTCACCACAATTTAAAAACATTTTTTTACTGTAATCTGAAAAATGTAGAAGCTATCAGCCATACAAACATAAGCCGGCTCTTTCCGTGGGCCACAGTTTGCCAACCCCTGGTCTAAACTTTCTGGAACAATCCAGGCTTTTGTGTTCTCTGCCTGCGGTGGGTGGCCTTGACCAGGCACAGCAAAAACGCCTCCCGGACACTAAGGAACCACCGTACGCGGCCGACTGGCCTATCTGAGTGTGCACACACAGCCCCACCTGGCACTGCAGAGACTCCTCAAGGGGACACCCCAAGAGGGGACAGTGGCGCCCTCCGCCCCACCCCGCTGCTCGTCTCAGCAGGTGCTGCATCCGCCCAGAGACGCAGGCATCCTGCCGTCACCCGATGGCTGGCTTTCACTGACGCCTCGCCCCGGCCCACAATACCCTCCCCTCCACTGGCTCACACAGGCCCCTCTAGCCTCACAGATCTTCTCCTGCCCCCCAGTCCACGTCTGGCATGGCAGCTGGAGGGGCCTTTCCAGAACTCTCCCCCGGCTTCTCACGCTCCTGGCTCTCTCCCCTACAGCCTCTGCTTCAGGTCCTGACCCCACTGGCTTCCTGCTTTCTCAGCACACCCACTCGTTCCCACCTCAGGCCTCCACGCCCTGACCACAGAGCCGCCCCCAGAAGACACAGGCATGGCCCCTGCTCCCCCACCTCTGCCCACGGCACCTCCCCAGGCCTGCCTTCTGCTGTCTTTCACTCGTGGTGCTGAACTCCCATCCACACGTGTCTCGCGTGAGTCCCCACCTTAACCAGGCAAGGGCCAGAGAGCCAGGAAACTGAACAAACCCCAGTGCCTGGCACGGAGGAGGTGGCCTACCTCTACTCCATGGGTGATGAAGACATAAACCTGAGAGGTGGCCTCCCAGGGATGGAATGAACTTTGAAAGACCCTTCATGGAGGGAAGGCAGCCGGCGTCCCTTTGAATGTTAAGGGGACACTAAACTACAAACTGCACCTCAAGGTTTATCTCTAAGTTCATCTAAGCAGATGTGATCTTGGACAAGTACAAAGGAGCCGCCCCCGAGAGGCAGGGTCTATCCTGAACAGAACTGGCGGCCAAGATTTACCACTCTTCTAACACCTGGGGTCTCGCCCCTCAGGTGTCCCAGAACGGGGACAGTCATGAACAAGACAAGCCTGATCTGGAGGACCCCATCTGCCAGGGAAGGCAAACCAACAGGAAATACCACATTTTTTTTATTTCTTAGCTTTGCTATGCTATTTTGAAATATGTAAAACGGGATACTGTGAAAATGACTTGGGGATGGGAATTGGGGGGGGGTGCTCTCTGACGAGGTGATGTTATAACTAAAGTCAACCAGAACCAAAAAGGTGTGGATTCCAAAGGCTGCAGCCAGGGAATGGTCTTCCTGCTGTGGTCCCTGGCCCCTGGGCATGCTGCCCACATCATGGCACATGTCTGTTTATCTTTCCCTTAGGCCAGTGTCTCAACCGAGGAGATTCTGTTCCAAACCCAGGGGACACCCGGCAATGTCAAGAGACATTTAGGGTTGTCCTACTTGGCTGGCAGTGGCGGGGGCGGGGGGGGGGGCTGCCTACCGGCATCAGTGGGGTGGAGTCCAGTGATGCTGTTCACCACCCCGCAGAACATGGGACGGGCCCCACGGAGAACAATCTGGCCCCAGTGGCAAGGCTGAGAAACCTTGACAAAAGGCTCCCCACAGGTTAACACTTACTTCTCTTCCTCAGCACTTAAGAACTATTGTCTCCTTGTCTATAGTCGACAGGATTCATGACGGGATGAAGAATGGAAAAAATTCACATACGCACATGCACACGCACACACATACACACAGACACAGAAGGTACTTCAAAATAGCGAAGCCAGAAAAACCAGTTAAAAAAAAAATCACCAGGGCACTAGTGAGCTGGGAGCCCTGGAAAGTTCTCAGGCTACCACTGACTTGAAAAGGGCTCTAGAAAGCTCAGAAGACATCTGGTTTGGGCCTGGCGGGAAGCAGGGCTAGAAACACAGCACGTCCACAAACGTGATGTGAAACCAAGACGGCAGTGGACGACCGGAGGGAATGAAGGGCATGGACCGCTCGGGCTGAGGGAGCAGCCCCACACACGGGGGCTCCTAGGCTGCAGCAAGACCAAAAAGCCCTGGTAGGCAGCTAATAAGGGAACGTTCTCATCAAACTCCTCCTCAGAATTAATAGACTTGCAGTCACGAAATCTACCCCAGGGGCAGACAAGACCGGTCTGCTCTCCTTATCTCTCCAACAGGTCTCAAAGTTACTTGGGGAGCAGCAGGAGCCCTGCAGCTATTTAACAGAAGGAGATGCTCGTGTGAAGATCCGGCTTTGGGAGCAGTTATTCCCACAGGGCTAGAGAAAGGCAAATTCCGCATGTCACCGGTTCTTTCCTCAACACCCAGTGTTTACACAGTGCCTCGGATTCAGCAAAGTGCCCCTGCACACACAGCTGCAAAGAGCTCGCTTTTCTCCCCTAGCCGGGACTGTTCTGAAGGTTAATCCCCGCTAAGGCTTTTATCTTCTGGAGGCACAAGCGCTACCTCTGGATCCTGGGGCTTCATTTGCAAACATGAAATGGAAGCTTTTTTGGCCCCAGGTTTCCAAGTACCTTTTTAAAAGTGAGGCGCACTCCTCAGCTTTAATGAGATGACTTGCTGATGGTGCTGACGTGCTGACAAGCCTGCCTTGCATAGAGAAGAGGCAGAATGTGTGCGCTAGCCCCCCTCAGAGAGGGACCTGCCACTGCCAAGTCGCCTCGCGCTGCTCTCTTTTCAAATCCTGACTCCCTAATTGATAGGAAACTGCAATCTCCTTCAACAGAGGAGAAACCTACAAAATGCTTCAGAGTAGATTTTTAGCTTCCCTGCAAAAACCCCTGGGGCAGAGATGGAGGAGGAGGTGGTTGAAAGAGCTGGTTCAGTCACACCAGGGCTTCTCAATGCTGTGATTCGGCTCCCAGGAGACATGTGGCTCTGTCTGGAGATCTGCTTTTGGCTGCCTCGACTGGGTGAGGGCCTACGGGTGGAGGCCAGGGATGCCGCTGAACACCCACAATGCCCTGGCCAGCAAAGCCACCATCAAAGTGTTATGCCCTAAATGGCAACAGGACCGAGGAGAGAAAAAAGACAGTGGCTACCTTACAAAAGTAAAGCTCAAACAGTCTTTTTTTCAGGGGGTCTGGTGAGCTCAAACAAGAAGGGACTGCAGAGACAGAAGAGGCTGCCACCTGTCACTTAAGAAAGAAGGGACCACAAGCCTGAGCTGAGGCCATGGTCCTGCCTGCAGGGGGTGAAGCACACCGATAATAAAGATGGCTGGTCACACATGCATCTCCACCGCTTTACTGTGTGGTGTCGGGGTGATCAGAGGGCTCACGGGCCTAGCTCGAGTACGGCCTGCCTAGCGCTCTGAGGCGGAGCCTCAAACCCAGACCTTGGCGGCTGCGACTGCCATTATCTTTTTAATCAGAGTACAACTGCTTTACAGTGTTAAGTTTCTGCTATACAACCAAGCAAATCAGATATACACACACACACACACACACACAGGCACACATCTCCTCCCTCTTAGACCTCCCTCCTACCCCAACCCCATCCCATCCCTCTTGGTCATCACAGAGCACTCAGCTAAGCTCCCCATGCCATATACCATAGTTCCCAGTAGCTCTCTATTTTACACATGGTAGTGTATTTATGCCAAACTGAATCTCCCAAGTCACCCCACCTTCCCTCCCCCACTGTGTCCACATGTCCGTCTTCTATGTCTGCGTCTCTACTGCTGCCCTGGAACTACGTTCATCTGTCCTATTTTTCTAGATCCCACATGTTAATACATGCGCTAATATAGGGATTCTGGTTTTTCTTTCTGACTTCCTTCACTCTGCACGACAGACTCTAGGTCCATCCGTGTCTCTGACTGTGACCGGACATAAAAATGTGTTTGGAGAATGCCTCCCTGACACATACAGAGACACCCACTCTTGATTTAAATCTGCCAAACAGATCAATTTGGGATGCAGAGGCTGCTGGGGAAGGTGCTTCCATTTATTTTGATTTGTGCTAGAAGCATTTCAAGAAGATCAGCCCTTCACCTGCTTCCCTGCCAATGAAACACAGGAGGCACACTGCCTGGCCTGAGTATCCTAGTGCCAGGGTGGGCGGTGCTAAGGCCTGATCACTCACACCACTGCATACCTGGTTCGACAGAGGCGACTGTATGTTTAACTTGCCATTCTTGGGAATGTCTATTCTGTAGCCGAGAGGAAGGAAAGCGTTGAATCCAACAATGAGGTCAGGGTGTTCATGGAAGAGCTGCGACACTCGTCGGATGACGCCAGGAGTATCAATGCTGGAACACAGAAGACCAGGACTGGGCAGGAGCGTCTTAGGGGGCAAACTGGGAACCGAGCTAACTTCTGACACTCGTAACTGTCCCAGGACACAGGCTGCTCAACAGACAACGAAGCACCCCAAAACATGTTCTGTCTGACTGCAGACGGTGGTCCACCACCAAGGCAGCCAGGCCTGGACTCCCTGTATCTTCCCAGCAAGAACCCACAACAGACACACAGCACAGCTCCCAAAAAACTGCAAGCACGTGAGCTCTGGAAATGTCAGGAGAGCCAGCCGCACACCCTGAGCTCCAAGAAGTGACAGGAGGCCAAGTCCTCTAAATGGGGAGATAAATTCACTTCATACGAATTAGCGATCTGCTGTGACACAGGAGTTGTTCCCAGTAACTGACGGTAACGCATAAATGTCAAAGGCCCTGCAAGTTATGGAAACTGCATAACAGATCAAGGAGAGAGGAGATAGGGCTCTCCCTCAGGGCTGCAGTCAGGGCCAAGGTCTTAGCATCAGGCTTGTGAGACAGGTGAGTCCTGTTGCTATTTTTTCCTCAGTGGGGCAAGCAGCACAGTGTGGACGTGATACTCATGAATCTAAGTCAGAAGGGATGGAGTCCTGGTCCCATCTCTGCTCCTAACGTGAATCTGGGTGAACCCGTGGCCCACTCTAAGTCTCAGCAAGCCCCCTGTCAAACAAGATAGGAGATCGGGAGGTCCCCGATATATCTCTAACCCCCCTGATTCTGTGCCTGTGAAAACAGCTAATGTGTTTTAAATGCCTTCTAAGTGCCAGGTTCCTTACTAAGCATTTTATGTGTGTTATTTCTCAAGTAGGCCTGGCATGAGGGCGAGGCAAGTAAGGCACTCACCTTGGGGATTAAGCTTCGAGGGAGAGAGAGTGCCAAAACATTCCTTAACCAGGATAAGTAACATTTTAATGTAGTGCTTGGGGGGGGGGGGGTGGAATCTAAATTTTCAAAAACTCCTGACGAACAAAATTTATCTTATAAAAAACCCAACATTCTGAGTAAAGACAGGATCCCACCCTCTGCTTGCTTGACAGCCTCACTCGCCTCACCCCATCCCTGCCCTCCTTCCAGGAATCCCCACGATAGCTTCACAAGGAAGGTACCCTTCCGTCCCGTTTTTTGGAAGAAGGAACTGGGGCTCCGAGAAGTCACAACCTGCGCAAGGTCACCCTGTTGAGGGGCAGCGGGGGTTGATGGCTCCCACACCGCTCAGGCCCACTGCGGCCCAGGGCGTCCCCCTGGGCAGGGGCCCCGCAGGTACCTCTGGCTCTTGAACTCCTTCATGATTTCCAGGAAGCCATTGTAAGTGGCAGGATCGCTGCCGAAGCGGATCTTCACCTGGTCCAGGTAGGTGAGGGCGTCTTCCACCTGCGGGGAGGGGGAGGGTCCTGGTGGGTCGCGGTCGGCGCAGAAGGGGACGGGGCCGGGGGTCCCTGGCGGGAGGGGGACAGGCCGGGCTCCGAGGGGCGGAGGCAGGGAGTCGCTGGTCCAGGGCCCAGCGGAGCGGAGGCCGAGGCAGGGCCAGGGTCGGGCGGGGCCCTGGTAGGGGGCGCCAACCTCCGGGGACTGGAAGACGGGGTCCCCCAGGGAGGGCTGGGGCACCACTCACGTGCACCGGCAGTTTCTCGTGGCCCCCGGAGCCCGAGCGACCCCAGCGGGCGCCGCTCAGCCCCCGGCCCGCAGGGCCGACGCCGCCGCCGCCGCCAGCGTGCGCCATGTTGGAACTCGGAGCCGCGGCCCGCCCCGCCCCCCGCCCGAGGGTCGCCCGCGCATGCGCTGGCTCCGCCCTGGGGGGCGTGGCCTGGCGGTGGCTGGGACTGCAAAGTTCCTTGAAGAATTGGCTGTGGGATCTTACCCATAAAACTGAAATGCTAACGCTTAAAATACCACCGGCGGGCAAACCAAGGCCTGCCCTCTGCTTTTGTCTGGCCCCACAAGTAAACTGAGAATGCTTTTTACAATTTTAAAAGTTGGGAAAACTCTGATAGTGAAGATTATCCCGTGCCACGTGAAAATTCTATGAAATTCAAGTTTCGGTGTCTGTAAAATTAAGGTTTACTGGAACACTGGAATGCCCACTGAAATAGTGTTCTGGACCCCTGCGTTCTAGGGTTGATGTAACAACTGAGGTATGGACACACCGCACCGGAATACATGGCCCTGCAGTGAAGTTTTGCCAAAATGCTTTTTTAAAAATTTTTATTAATTTATTTTGCTGTGCTCAGTTTCAATTGCAGCATGTGGGATCTTAATTGTGGCATGCAAACTCTTAGCTGTGGCATGTGGGATCTAACTCCCTGACCAGGGATTGAACCCATGGCCACTGTGTTGTGAGTACAGAGTGTTAGCCTTTGAAACACCAGGGAAGTCCCTGGTAAATTGCTCTCGACTTAGTCCTGATCCTCCTCTCTTCACTTTTCTAGTCCTGTTCCCATCACTTCCCCACTGGACCAGTTTGGGAGCCTCTTAACCAGTTTTTCCAGTCCCAGTGCTATCAAGAACTGAGATCATTCCACAACTGCTTCCAAATCTCCAAGGTCTTCCTATTTCTTATGAGTTAAATCTGAACACCTACATGCAGCATTGAAGGCAATAAAAACCTACTCCTTATGAAGCTTTTCTTACAGAGTTTTCCACGCAAGTAAGCTGCCTTCTATCTGTGCAGAAATTCCTGTCAATGCCTGCTTAGCCTGGCTGCTCCCTGACCCCATGCATCAGCCAGAAGCCCGACTCTATCTCTTCATTACACCAAAGCACCCTATATATCCTGCAAAATACAACCCAAATATCCTCTCTCTCAAGAAACTACCCGACTTCTCCTCTGCCATCCCACAGTCTCTTGTACATTATCTTCATTTGGTATCTCTATTTGTGAAGAGGTGCAGGAAAGCTAAGAATATATTGGCAACAAGTGCATCATTTGTCAGGGGTCAGGAGTAAAATTGGGACTTCCCTGGTGGCTCAGATGGTTAAGAGTCTGCCTACAAAGAAGGAGACCCGGGTTCGATCCCTGGGTGGGGAAGATCCCCTGGAGAAGGAAATGGCAACCCACTCCAGTATTCTTGCCTGCAGAATCCCATGGACAGGGCAGACTGGCAGGCTACAGTCCATGGGGTCACAAAGAGTCAGACACGACTGTAGGGACTTCCAGCAGCAGGAGTAGAATGGTGAACAAAACCAACAAGGCTTTTACCCCACAGTGTCATCAGTCTTTCAGGAAGGATAAAAGTCAATCACATACACAAATGTAAAGTTTCAACTGTGACAGATACTTCAAAGGGAAGTTACAAGTACAATAGTCACTCTGTTCCAGTTACTCTGGCTGTGTTATAAACCATCTCCAGATTTAGAGGTTTACAATGATAAGAACATTTATTTTGTTCTCCAACCTGCAATTTGGGCAGGCTTGGAAGGGACAGCTCATCCCTGGCCCCTCTGTGTCAGCTGGGTGGTTGGAAGGCTGAGGCTAGAATCCTCTGAAGGTTTACTCACTCACATGTCTCTCATTTGCTTCTGGCTGTAGGTTGAGGCCAGTGGCTATTGCCAGAATGACCCACATGTGGCCTCCTCATGTAGCCTGAGCTTCCTCACAGTATGGCAGCTAAGTTCCAAGCCCAATCACACAGAGAGGAACAACTGAGCCAGGTGGAAGCCTTATACCCTTTTCTGATCTACCTTTGCAAGTTACAGAGAATCAAAAGTCCCTCCCAAATTCAAGTGGAGAGTCAGCAGACTCCAGAACCTGGGGAGTGGCCAGGTTCTGAAATAGCATGCATGCATGCCTATGTGCTCAGTCTTTGCAACCCCATGGACTGTAGCCCACCAGGCTCCTCTGTCCGTGGAATTCTCCAGGCAAGAATCCTGGAGTGAATTGTCATTTCCTTCTCCAGGGGATCTTCCTAACTCAGGAATAGAACCTGGATCTCCTGCATTGGCAGGGAGATTCTTTACCACTGAGCCACCTGGGAAGCCCCAGGAATAGAATGGGGAGATAGGAAATATTGCCATGACCATTTTTGGAAAATACCTTCTGACACCAGATAGACTTAACCCAGTCGGGGGTGAGAAAGGCCTTCCAGAGGTAGTGATATTCTAGTTGTGTTCTGAATGCTATGTAGGTGTCCACTGTGAAAATCAGTCCTGAGTGTTCATTGGAAGAACTGACGTTGAAGCTGAAACTCCAATATTTTGGTCACCTGATGCGAAGAGCTGACTCATTTGAAAAGACCCTGATGTTGGGAAAGGTTGAAGGCAGGAGGAGAAGGGGACAACAGAGGATGAGATGGTTAGATGGCATCACCGACTCATTGGAGATGAGTTTGAGTAAACTCCAGGAGTTGGTGATGGATAGAGGGGCCTGGCATGCTGCGGTTCATGGGGTCACAAAGAGTCAGACACGACTGAGTGACTGAACTGAACTGAACTGTGAAAATCAGAAGGAATGGCTGTGCAAAGGCCCTGTGGTGGGAACAAGTGTGGCATATTTAAAGAACTTTAAAAAAAGCAACCAGTTTTCTTGTATTTCAGAGGAATGGAAGGGAGAGACAGAGAGAGAGAGCAGGATAAGAGTAGATGGAACAGAGAAGGCAGGCCACTCTTTCTTATGAGATGAATCAAGGCTTTTGGACTTGGCATTTAGCGCTGGTAGAAACTGCGTATAGGTTCTACAAAAGGAACTGTTTCAGCAGCTTGGAAGTTGGAAGCAAATGCTCTGACTATTCTGCAGGGAAGTGATTGGAGGGGAGCCAGGGAGGGTGCAGGGAGGCTGTTTCATCGTTTAGACAGGCAAAGGATGATGGTGGTTGAGACGAGAGTAGGAGAAGTGTAGAGGTGGAGAGAAGGTGGTGAAAGGGAGTGATATTTAGAAGGTAAAGCAGAGAGTACCTGGCACAGGGTGGATGTGGGGGTGAGGAGAAAGGAAGTTTGAGAATTCATAGCTCCTAGCCCACAAAGGTATTCTGCCCAGTTTCATTGCGTTTCTGTCTGAACAGAAGCTGAGGCCGACTGAACCGCATTCTGAGGCTACCAGTCCTATCCACAACAGTACCTCCTGGGGGCAGTCCCTCCCCTGCAAATCAATGGCACACGTTGGCTTCTGATAAGCCCCAGAGACCTTATACATTGCTCCCCCTCCCACAAGGATCACCTTAAGTTTTCTATTCTTCTAGTAGGTCTCTTAGAGTCAGAGGAAGCCCTCACTCAACTGGAGAACAGGCAACCACAACTCAATGCCACCTTGGCATGTGTGTGAGTTCTGAAGGATGCATGAATATCTGCATGTGTGTGTGTGTGTCTGTGTGTGTGTTCAATATGTAGGCAGCAGTACATGTATATCTTTTCATCTTATTTTTATAAAGCATACAAAGTTGCTAAGCTAATTTTTTTTCTTTACTATTCTCATCTACACAGATTAAATTGAAAACCTTATAGATAAACAACAAGGGCCTACTGTATAGCCCCTACTGTATTTCCCTACAGGGAAATATATTCAATATATTATATGAACCTATAATGGAAAAGAATCTAAAAAAGAATATATATATGTATATATACACATATATGTGTGAATCAATTTGCTGTATACTCCTGAAACTAGTGCAACATTTTAAATTCACTGTACATCAATATAAAAAGTTAAAATGGTTTTATATGAAAATAAAAAGTTTTTTAAAAATTAGAAAAAATGGAAAACCTTAGAGGTGACAGTTTTGGTAGACAGCTTAAATAAATTTGAAACACAAATTTCCTTATCATTTGTCTAATTTAATGACATTAAAGTAAAGTTCTTAGGTAGATCTTTTGTTGGACAGTATCTTGGCAAAATTAAGAAGATAAAAAATCCTGTATATTCTGAACTAGCTAAGTCTTCCCAGGTGGCAAACATTAGGATCAAACTCGCTGAAGCTGGGAATCGCAGTCTGCAGCAGAACTTTCCAAGGCTGCCAGAGATTCCCGTGCCCTGGTGTATGCACCCTGCCTTGTCTTCCTTCCTGGAGTATAGGTGGTCCTGGGAATATCATGGATGTCACACCTACAATATGTCTATGTCTACACGGTGAAGGGAAACGAATTCTCAGAGTGCTTAAGATTCCAAGCGAAGTTGATTTTGAATTCATCAGAAAGCAGATTATGTAGTAGACCTGGCCTAATCAAGGGTACCCTTTATTTTTTAATTTAAAAAAAATTTTAAAGATTTTTAAAAAAATCTTAAAAGACCATCTCTTTACCAGAAATTTTGACTGTTTTTCATTCAATGGATTCAATGGATGCTTGGGCTGATGTTTCCTGTTTATAACTGTATCACTGAAGGGAAAGCTACTGGAAAGAAGACTTGGTTTATCTCTTTACTATAATATGAAAGACAGAATAGTATTTATTTTCTTGTTTTATTGAAATATACTTGATTTACAATGTCATGTTGGTTTCAAGTGTACAGCACAGTGTTTCAGATATATATATTTGTGTACGTGTGTATAATTGCACACACACACACACACATATAATTTTCAGATTCTTTTCCCTTATAGGTTATTACAAAATAATGAGCATAGTTCCTTTTTCTATACAGTGAGTCCTTGGTAATCTATTTTATATGTAGTGGTGTGTATATATTAATCCCATTGTCTTCATTTATCTCTCTCCCCCTTCCCGTTTGGTAACCATAAATTTGTTTTCTATGAAAATAAAAAAAAAAAGCTATGACCAACATCAACAACA